GTTCCCTGTCTCTCAGGATGTTGAGAGGCTGAGTAGGTATCTGTAAAGTACTCTGAGATCTTGAATGAAAGTGCTTAGAAAAGTGTGGAGTATAAGAAGTCAATGTTAATGCCACATTTTTCAATGCAGAATGAGGCACATAGCCAACACTGATCCACTGATACAGCAATGACACACTATACGTCCCAAAGCATCTCACAAGATCTCTATACATACACTACCATTAAAATGCTGCCACTTCTGGGTTAGAAGGTGGCAACTAGGCACATGGCATGCTGCACAACAGGAATGAAGGAACGGGATATTTTGGTCAAGGACACTGGGCTTTTATGAAAAGTGTTACAGGACCTTTGTGACATTTGAGGTAGCCTGTGAAAAATCCACACATGGAAAGCTATCAATTCATTGTTTTAGAGTAACAGCCGTGTTAGTCTGTATTTGCAAAAAAGAGTACTTGTGGCACCTTAGAGGCTAACCAATTTATTTGAGCATAAGCTTTTGTGAGCTACAGCTCACTTCATCGGATGCATCCGATGTACTCCTTTTCTTTTATCAATTCATTGTGTATGCCTTGGAAAGACAATGGACTGAGCTTACTTGGCTGGGGTTTGAACTCAGAGGGAATTGAGGAATTTCAAACCTGATGCTTACGCTACAAAACCATCCCCAGTTAGACAAAGTATTTGCAAGAGAAGGGCAGCCAATGAGACAAATTCTTGCTTGCATAAGGGACAGTGGTTATTCACATACACATTGTTCATATATTCCTTTCCAGAAGCTGATGCCTATTTGTGCTGATCTGTTTGGCCCTCTCAGTACATTTCTAAGGCACTGCTACCCAAATGTCTTAGAGTCAGAAGGATGAACAGGGTTTTCAGTTATAAGGGTCAATCTGCAATTGATTTTCTTTCATGTTTTCACATGCAGGAAAAGTCTCATATCTCCTGAGTTCCACTCTGCTGCTGGTAAAAAAACACAATTAAACAGCTTGTGGGAATGTCAGAGGCTAGCTTACTCTGATTAATTTGCCTTCAGTGGTAGAACTGCTCTAGCAAGGGGATGATTTTGCTTCTATCCAGGTCAAAGTTGTGGAGCTTATGATTTCAGAGCTCCATATATAGTGATCAACCGGATGCCATGAGCAAAGGGAGTAGAAGCGGGTGCATTTGATCTGCACAATCCTTAAGAGATGATTCCAGCATACACAGAGTACAGTGGGTCTTATTCTTGCCTTATTAGATAAGGTTGAGATGGCACAGTTGCTTGTAACTCAAATACTCAGCCCAGAAGTTTATTTTGCATGAAGAGCCCATTGCTGAAGTTATCCAGATGTAAAAAGAAAGCCTTAGAAATATAGTTCAGATGCTTCTCATGCTGGAATAACTAGCTTTAAGAGGCCAAACCTGATGCATACAAGGAGTCATTCAAATCCCTCATCTTGCCTTCAAGGCACTGCATAGCTGCGTCCTCTACCAACATCTCTACTCCCTCTCCCTCCCCCCCATTTACTCTCTTTTCCTACGCCTCTCCTAACTATCCTCTCTCAAGTCTTCTCCCATGGGACTGCCACACCCTTGTGATAACATCCCACTCCGAAGGCCTCTCCATTTCAAATCCTTCCCTTAGACATGTTGTACCCTCAGGTCTTCCAGCGATGCTCCCTTCAAGATATGCTGTCCTTGATAATAAACACTAGCTTATTAGGTGCCTGCAACGTTGTCTGTCCAATGAAAACTTTGAGGGAATTTGTCATTTCACATGTTTTTACAGCACCTAGCACACTGATAACTCTCAAATGAGTGAGAGCTTGACTGAAAAAAAGCTATCACTGAGTGAAAGGCACAAGGCTTATTAATACACAAATGGATACATGGAATTATGACAAATGACAACACAGACAGAGCAGTAAACATGGATCATTTAGGCCTAACTGATCATTTTAATTAGATATACCAGTCTGAGACATCTCTCGGCCATGCTACATCATTCATACTCCTTATCAAGCCATTTCTACATATTGCATCTGAGAGCATGGCTGCCTCTCTTCTCGGCTTCAAGGAGCATCACGACTACAGGCTAAGTCCCTGCTAAGCTGCGCAGCAGGCTATCAATGGCTGCGCAAGTGCGCAGCAGGGAGAGGCGCCTCTTCCCCAGCTCTAGAGCTGCTGCAGCCAGGGAGAGGCACTCTCTCCGAGCCCTGGGCTGCTGCAGTGAGAGAGGGCTGGGGGGAGTCCCCTCTCCCTGCTGCAGTCGCGGGGTAGCCTGCATCCCAAACCCCTCATCCCCAGCCCCACCCCAGGGCGCTCACCCCTATGCATCCCAACCCCCTGCCCTAGCCCTGAGCCCCCTTCTGCATCCCAAACCCCTCATCCCCGGCCCCACCCCAGAGCCTGCACTCCCCCCCACACCAAACTTCTGCTCAAGCCTTGAACCCCCGTCCCACTCCAAACCCCTTGGACCCACCCCGCCACACATCACCTCCATACTGGTGTACATAACAAAATTCATTCCACACACAGAAGTAAAAAAATCAGGGGGAACATTGGCTACAGGATGCACAAATTTTGCTGCTGCTGCTATTACCGGTGCAGAAAACCTTTAGTCCCACTCTGGTCACAATTCAATTGGAAACCAAGGAAGTACTATGATACCTCCCAATATCACACTCTACAAAAATTCTTCAATGCTAAAGAAAAAATTGGTCCAAGGCAGGGGATTGACCCCATGCAAGCACGAATAACTGTTACCATGATCCTCTGTGACCCTGCTCATGCAGGGCCTGTAGCACAGTTAGCTATACTCATCGTGCTGATATGTAGTTATCATGTAAATATACTATGTTTTAAGGCAAGAAGTAGTTGTATTGAGTGCTAAAGCTTGCAGTAATGTGAGATGCCAAGCAGGACGAAAGGCTTTGATCTGCCTCACAAGCTGAAAAAAGGCAATAGGGTAGGAAGAGTAAGAGGTTGGCTGCAAAAAGCCTAGATAGGAAGATAATGTCTGAGCAGCTGACCCTTTGATAGCACTGTATTATGATTGTGGATGCAATGATGGGTACTCCTGACGCTATATTCTCTCTTCTAGAAGGAAGTGGAAGCATACCTGCTTTCTCATCTCCAGCTAATGCACATCAAAGAGTTTGATCTTAACATAGCTTCTTCACCTGTCAGCCAGCTCCCATGATTTACAAAGCAGGGATCTAGAAGATGGAAATCCCCAAGTTCTAATGTTAGCACTGTACAATCTGGTGCCAATCCTCTAACCTTGCTGTGCTCTATTTCTCTATCTACAACATGGGAATAATGACTACCTGATTGTGTAGACCTGTGCAGCATAGTGTCTGTACCTTCAAAGTACTGTATGAGAGTACAGAAAATTGTTGCCAGCAATTAATATTGCCAGCTCTGTAAATCTACCCATACTTTCCAAGTACACCAGTTACTGTCACATACATGAGTCCCACACAGATGTGCATGACCAGCCAAGCTATTTTGGTAACAGACCTCAGAAACAGTGAATCATGTAACTGATAAAAACACTGTACATGATGACAGGTTTCAGAGTAGCAGCCGTGTTAGTCTGTATTCACAGAAAGAAAGAGAGTACTTGTGGCACCTTAGAGACCAACCAATTTATTTGAGCATAAGCTTTCGTGACCTACAGCTCACTTCATCGGATGCATTCAGTGAATGTGTCCGAAGAAGTGAGCTGTAGCCCCCCACAGCTTATGCTCAAATAAACTGGTTAGTCTCTAAGGTGCCACACGTTCTCCTTTTCTTTTTACTGTACATGATGTTACACAGATCAAGCCATCGTTTCTAATGCCTCTCTTCACCGAGCCAGGTTTTAATGGTCTGAGTCTTGGGACAGCAAAGCACTGCTACTCTAACAGCACCTGCCAGTACATGCTGAGGCCTTGAAACCATTTGAGAGCCATATCCTAGTTGCTCCCCCACTGAGACCCCCGAACCTCCCTCCCCAGGTCCCAGAGACCCTGGTCTGAGCTGCTCACCTGCTTCCCCCAGTACCCCCAACCCCTACAGCCTGGCATTCAAGGGGTCAGTCACACTTTGACTGCCTGGCTCCTCCCTCACAGAGCCCTTAGCTCCCTCCACCCCCATGCCTGGCACAGAGCCCTGCGATGCGCCCCCCGAGAAACCCAGACCCACGTCCCACCCTGCCCCCCCCACAGCCCCCTCCCCCCATCACCCCCCGTCAGTCCCTCCCCCCCACAGCCCCCTCCCCACCATATCCCCTCAGTTCCACCCCACCCCACAGCCCCTCCCATCGCCCCAACTCCCCCCCGACCCGCTGATCGCCCCTCACAGCCCTGGGGTGCCCCGTCCTCAGCGCCCCACACACCTCAGACCCCTCCGCCCCCCAGCAGCCGGGGGTGCCCCCGGCCGCAGCACGAGGAGCCTCCCCAAGCTGCGCGCGCCGCCGCCTCAGGCCGCCCTCACCTCCTCCACGTCCCGCTCGACGGGGCCGCCGATCTCCACCTCCAGCACGGCCGCCATCTTACCCTGCCTGCCCACTCGCCGGCCAGCTACTTCCCCCCGGCCCGCCAATCACCGGCCGCGCCGGCCTAACGTCCGCCAATCAGCGAGCAAGACGATCCTCCTCTAGCCAATCAGAGAATGGAGGGGCGGGACGACTTCCGGGCGGCCGGAGAGCTGTCACAGAGTGAGGGGGTCATCAGACATTTACAACCACCAGAAAGAAACGCAAAATCCTTTAAAAGATGGTACATTGCCAGGACGCCTCCCGAATCAGAGAACACAGTGATTCTCTGATGTCACGCTGTAAAGATAAAGCGTTCTGTCCACTAACTTCAATTTACATTTTTTTCTGGGGTGCTACACTTGGGAGACTCTCCCTACTCTTGTCCCGCCTCGCAGTGTGCGCCCTGGACGTGACGAGGCGCTCCGGAAAGACTACAAATCCCGGCATGCCCCGTGCGCCGCCTGACCTTTAACCCATCCTGCGGTCCCCCCCCCAAGAGAGAGAAAAAGCATAATAATTATGGGAGCATAACTATAATTAGCAGAATCATCGTGGGGCCAGAGAGAAATAAATAAAATATTTACAAGTAGCCCTGGCGGGGCCTGAGCGCGGCTCCCAGCGGGGGGGTCAAAGGTCAGGTGGGTTTTGGCGGGAGATAGCGGCTTCCTCAGTCCTACCCTCCTGCCTGAGGAGCTGCGGCTGTTATTGGGCAAAGCGGGGCGGGGACTTGGTGGGTACAGGCCGGGGGGGTGGGTGGGAGTGATGGTGTGTTTGCGGGCCGCTGCCGGCCCTTGGTGTGTGTGTCCCTGGCTCGGGGCGGGGGGGTGCTTGGGCGGTTGGGGGGGGTGCTTGGGCGGTTGGGGGGGTTGAGTTGAGTTGCGGGGGGGCTGTTGGGTGAGGGTAGTTGGGCTGGGTTGTGGGGGGTTGGGTTGTGGGGGTGGTGAGGGGTTGTGGGGGGCTGTGGGGTGGGGGGGTGTTGGGTGAGGGTAGTTGGGCTGGGTTGTGGGGAGTTGGGTTGTGGGGGTGGTGAGGGGTTGTGGGGGGTGGTGAGGGGGTTGGGGGGGCTGTGGGGTGGGGGGGTGTTGGGTGAGAGTAGTTGGGGTAGTTGGGCTGGGTTGGGGGGAGTTGGGTTGGTGGGGTGAGGGGGTTGTGGGGTGGAGGGTTGTGGGGCTGTGGGGTGGGGGCTGTTGGTTGAGAGTATGTGGGTTGTGGGGGTGGTGAGGGGTTGTGGTGGGGTGAGGGGTTGGGGGGCTGTGGGGTGGGGGCTGTTGGGTGAGAGTAGTTGGGGTAGTTGGGCTGGGTTGGGGGGAGTTGGGTTGGTGGGGTGAGGGGGTTGTGGGGTGGAGGGCTGTGGGGTGGGGGGCTGTTGGGTGAGAGTAGTTGGGGTAGTTGGGCTGGGTTGGGGGGAGTTGGGTTGGTGGGGTGAGGGGGTTGTGGGGTGGAGGGCTGTGGGGTGGGGGGGCTGTTGGGTGAGAGTAGTTGGGGTAGTTGGGCTGGGTTGTGGGGAGTTGGGTTGTGGGGGTGGTGAGGGGTTGTGGTGGGGTGAGGGGGTTGGGGGGGCTGTGGGGTGGGGGGGTGTTGGGTGAGAGTAGTTGGGCTGGGTTGTGGGGAGTTGGGTTGGGAGGGTTGTGGGGGATTGTGGTGGGGTGGGAGGTTGTGGGGGTTGTGGGGTGGGGGGGCTGTTGGTTGAGGGTAGTTGGGCTGGGTTGTGGGGAGTTGGGTTGGGAGGGTTGTGGGGGATTGTGGTGGGTTGTGGGGGTTGTGGGGTGGGGGGGCTGTTGGGTGAGAGTGGTTGGGATAGTTGGGCTGGGTTGTGGGGGATTGTGGTGGGGTGGGGGGTTGGGTGTGTGTTTGCTGCTGTCTCTGGCTGCCTGGCCCTGGCCCTGCAATGTACCAATCCTACCCCCACCCCACACACACTGGTATGGGAGGGTTGTTGGTCTGGGGGGGCACTGATAGCAGCAAGCTGGCAGGGCCAGGCTGGAGCAGCAGCTGTCTGTGATTGGCTGCTGGTTCTGCACTGATTGCTTGTGGGGTTTGGTTTTGGTTTTCATTTATTTTTTCACCATCAGTGCTGGTTGACATCACCACCATAACCAGCGACTGGCACTTCACTCTCGCTGGCCTGGCTGGCTCCGCCGCGGATCACCGCACCGCTGCTAGGCTTGAAGAAGAAAAGAAGACGAGTCCCGCTGAGCGCACCCCTCAGTAAGTGCCCGTGGCTCCGCTGAACTTACGATTAAAAGCTCAGCTGTGATTGGTCTTTCTGTTGGTGTATCTTGGTGGTGTTGCACTTCCTGCACCAGCTGGGGAAAGGCTGTCGGGGTGTGTGTGTGAGGGGCAGGGGAATGGCTGGGCGGGGGTCGTTGGGTGTCAAACTCTGGTGTGGGCAGGGATCGGGGATTGACGGGGCCAGGGTGGGCCTGGGGGCTCTGGGGGTGGGATTGGAATGGCACCGTGCCACTATTGTTGGTCAGTGACTCTTGGGGCGTTTCTGGAGGTGTGGTGCACCATGGGGCGGGGGGCTTTTGAGTGGCCGGTGGTATTATGGCTGCGCCAGCGGTTTGCCGGTGGAGCTGTGGATGGGTGTGCGTGTGTGTGTGTGTGTGCGCGCTTTTCATAAAAAGCTTCAGCTGTGGTGGTCTTTCTTGGTGGTGTTGGTGCATTTCTGATGGTGGCGCACAGTGCACTGGTGGGGGGGAGGCCTTTTATGGTCTGTGAGGGGTGGGGGACACGGGCTGTGGGGGTTTGGGTGGGGGAGGGAACTGTGGGGTGGCAGGCACACAGCTGTTGGGGAAGGGTACTGCAGCACCAGCTCGGGGCAAGGAGGACAGTCGGTGGGGGGATTGGGGAATGATGCTTGTTGCTCGGTCACTGGGGGCTAGAGCAGGCACAGCTGTCTCAGGGGCTTGTTGCGGGGGGAAGAAGGGGCACAGCTGAGAGTCTGTGTGTGTGTGTGGGGGGGGAATGCGGGGTGGCCATGGCACAGACCTCGTGCTGTGTGTGGGAGCACAGTGCTGTTGCCTGCTCCATGCTCAGGATGGTGCAGGCGTAGAGCAACTTTGGGGGCTGTGGTGGGCCCCTGCGGTCCATCTGCCATTTTTAATTACAACACTTAATAGTAACATCATAAGGTAAGTGACAGTTTGCAGCAGTGGTGTTCAACAAGGGGTACGCCTGGGGTTACGCTGAGGTCTTCCAGGGGGTACATCAGCTCATGTACAAATTTGCCTAGTTTTACAACAGGGGGTACATAAAAAGCACTAGTGAAGTCAGTATAAAGTACAGTTATTTCATACATACAATGAATGAAATGACTTGTTTATACTACTCTATATACTATACTGAACCATGGGGTGCTGTAGCACGCAGGGAAATAGTTCACACACACAGGCCTCCCCCAGATCCCCCTGCGGGGAGCGGGGGGGCAGATGCTGCTGTATGCAACAAGTCCTCCCCCCCCTCCCCCCTGAGGTCCTCACAGAGTCCTTGTAATGTGGATGGTTTTTAGGTGTTGGTGGGGGCCAAAATCGTGGACATTCTTGGCCTGGTCCACCCACTTGACACATCAATTCCTATCATGTTCCAGGATAGCCTGTCTTGTCCGCAATTTTGAGGCTCATCCAATGCTAGAGGAAAGAGCGCAGTGTGGATCAGCAGCAGCCAAACACAAGAAAATGGGCTAAGTATGGAAAGAAATACAGAAAGGAATGGGGAAAAAGGAATAGAATTTAAAGTCTGGCTGAAGCCCCCAACTGGCGATAACGCACAAGCTTTTTGCAGATATTGCAAAGCCCTAATTCATGCACATCATGCAGACCTTGTGCAACATTCATTTCCAACTGAGAAACATAAATCAAATACAAAACCATTTTCTGTGATGCACCTGACAAATATTGATTTCACTGTCTCAAGACCTTCAGTCTCGACGATGCACCAAGCGGAGCTAAAACTGGCCTGCTACATTGCCTCCACCAGTGGTCAGTTCTGTGGATCTCCTCAGTATGCTTGCTGGGTCAGCTTTTGAAAAAGATACCCACCTCCATCGCACAAAATGCAGGGCATTAATCAACCAAGTTATGGCTCCCTGCATGTTCTACAACCTCATCAAAGACATTGGTGAGTCCCAGGATTCACGGATGATAGATAAGAGCACAGACATTGTTGCAGCAAAGCAGCTTTGCACTGTAGTGCGGTACTTCAGTCCCTCCTTAGGCAAGATTGTCTCCATATTTTTGGGACTAGTCAGTTTGGAAGGCAAAATAGCTGAAGCTATTGCCACAGCACTTCTTCAGTTTCTTGTCAGTGTTGGTCTGGATTTCAGCAGGTGGATTGGGATTGGGATTGATGGCTGTAGCGTCATGGTCGGACATAAAAATTCCATGTACACGCATCTGCTCAAGAAGAATGACAGGCTCAGTCTCATCAAATGCGTATGTCACTCCATCCAGCTGTGTGCCATAGAAATGCTGCCACGCAGTCTCGAGTTTTTAGTCTCCCATTCCTACAGCTGGTTCTCTCGCAGCCCCCAGAGACAGTGTGCATATGCACAGCTATTCCAGATGATGAATCTTGGTAACACACCACTGAAGCTTGTTCAGCTGTCAGTGACGAGATGGCTCTTCATGTATGACTGTTTTGTGTGCATACTGGATCAGAGGTATGCGTTGAAGCTACACTTCCAACTGAGCAAAGCTAAGCTGTGTTGCTATGAAGCAGAAGTTCTGTACAACATGTACTGCGACCCTGTGAATAAACTGTATTTACAGTTTCTAACACCGATTCTGCAGGAATTCTCCGGAATCAACAAACTGTTCCAGCTGGAATCTGGTGGTAATGCCTTCAAGATGCTGGACACCCTCCTCTCTTTTTCTTTTGGGGTCTTTTAGCTAGAATATTGTTTCCAAAGAGCATCCCTGTATCGGACACTGAATTCCTGGAAGTCAATTTGCAGCCAGCCACTTGCCACTGTGCGCTGTTAATTTCGGCGCAATGTTCACTATTGTTCTAGGAGATGCAAAGCTGTTCAAGACGGTATAAAGAGTTGTTAAGCCGCTCCCCTGGAGATAGATACGTCGCGGGAATACAGTGCACGCCACAGTGTGTTCTCAGGACTCTCCAGGAAGCATCTGTCGGGCTGGCCAGAGGGGCGGTGCCGCTGAGGGCTGCCTGCCGGACTGGCCAGAGGAGCAGTGCTGCTGAGGGCCAGCCCCTGTGGTGGTGTTGTTACTGTTCTGGGTCTTGTTGGCACCTCCACGGGCTCCGGCCCGCTTGTCCTCCTGCAGTTTCTTCAGGTAGACTGGGTGGGTGCTCTCGGTGACCGGCCCCGGTGAGAAGCTGAAGCTTTTGAGCTCCAAGAACAGCTCCTCATCAGTAAGCTGTGTGGCCGCCGCCATGTTCCTCTGCCCTGCCACTGTGGTGTTTCCTACACACCCCAGCTAACAAAAAAAACAGGCATTGTCATCTGCATATCATGAAGAATCCAGGATTCAAGTCCAGTCAGCAAAAGCAAGCAGCCTGGAGCGATAGGGATACAGTGATGCGGAGGGGTGGTGTGGCGGAGGTTGCAGAAAAGCAAGAGCAATCTCGTTGCCAGTCTCTTAAAGGGTTGTGAGGTTTTCTCTGTAAATCCTTCAAATGCACTCAGAATGTTTTATTTTATACATATATAGTTTCCTCAAGTGTTATTGAAGAAACCCCCTCGGCATATTTAACCTGTCCCTGTTTGCCGCAGTCTCTATCTGGCAGAATGGTTACAAGGTACCTTTTTGTTGTGTGCATTTTAATGCTGAAAATAAATTATGGTATTTTTATAAAAACATCCCATTTTGAAGTGTGTGGCTTGTTTAACCAAAGTGGGATTGCCTTGTTTTGGGCTGGCTTGTGGGTGTTAAGCATCACCGAGCGGAAATGGATTGGGCTTGTCTTGAAAAGGGATTGGGCTGTTTTGGGGCTTGTTTTGAAAGCCGGGTTGCTTATTTATCTCGTGAGAGTTGGAGGGCATCCGGGGACGTGGGGTTGGGGATCATCTACGCGGGAGGGCTTTTGGGGATAAGGGTTGTATGTGAAAGCAAAGGAGGGTTTGTGTCCGTTCCAGGTTACCATGGAAAAGAGATGCTGTAATTTTATACCTGACTTTTTTTTTTTTCCTGAAGAAGTAACAGTTGAGATTTTTTTTGTTAATATTACATTGAATTGGTTCCCACAACCCATAGCAATAGCATTTGCTCTGGGAAATAGATTAAAATTGGCTTCTTTAACTGTTTTCAATAGCTTTTTAACTGATGCTTAAATCTGTGGATGGATTAATTTCTCATGTAAACATTAGTGGAAGAGTCTAGATGTCGTTTTTTTCCTTGTTGAAGTTTCACTTGTTGCTTTGTTTAGACACCACTTAAAGTGAATACTTATTCTGATTTTCACAGGCCAGTCCTGCTAGCTTTTAGGATATTAAAATATCCTGAAACAACTCCAGGCCAGTGCAGTATCCTTACATGGGGACTTTGTGTAATGAGGCTGCATGAAAACATGATGATTAATTTTATTTAGCAAAACAAATGTTTAAAGCATAGCTCAAAGTTGTCTATAACAGTCAAATGTTCTAAAAAATCAGCAGTTCAAAGAAAGATCAATTTCCTCCCCAAATTATTCACAGAATTTGCTGTGTGATCAACTTGGGGTAACCTGAAATGAACCCGTAGAGAGACTGGATTTGGGGGAAACAAAAGGGTACGGAGGAAGTGAGTGAAGCCTAAGGAAAGATGTAAAATTACATATTATTTCTACAGCATCAAAGGTGTACCTGGTGCTTTGCAGATCAATACAAGACAACAAAATTCCTGTCCTCCTTCAGACCTAAGTCTTCCATGGAACCTACTAGCCATCTAGCTGGAGATAAATTGAGGGGCAGTCAGGTATACTTTTAATTAAAAGTATACATACATGAAAATGTTACATGCTTTGGTCCCAGTCTTCCCATCTGCCATCACAGTAATATTCCATGGAGTTTACCAGGTGGTTTAGTTGGACCAATTTCACCTAAGATGGGAATTTAAACTGATTTCAATTTGAGTGGCTTTATTTTTGGTTTAGTTTAAGCTGCTTGGAAATCAGTTTAAGTTAAATTGAAATAAGAATGTCCATATGGAGGTTTGTACTGAATTGATTAATACAGTCATCATGAAATTCACACCTTAAGTTAAACTGGGGCATCTTTCCCATATACACAAGGCCTCTGATCTGGTAGAAAGGAGGGCGTAGGGGATTCAAACAGGCATCTGACTGTGTGTTGTTGAGGCTTGGTCTGGATAGCACAGGGTGTAATATGCAATATCCAGCTCCTTCAGTGAAAGCAGAGGGAGGATCATAAATGTTCAGTGAAATTCAAATCCGCTTTTATTGCTGGCTGCGAAAATACAGCACTTGGCAAACCTGCCTGTTAGGATATAGATATTCAGGCCTGTCTGTAAAGACCTATACTCTAAGAATTTAGGTGTATTCTTATCACTTGGCTAGTTATAGAGGTACAAAAGAAAGATTCAAAATCACTGTCTGCCGGTGTAAGGGCCTTCTCTTACTGTGACAGTTTGTGACCCTGTGCTTAGGCTAAGGCCTTTGGCTAAGCAGCAGAGGCAGCCATAAGCTGGGAAGCAAACAGTCACATCCTCACATTCCAAACTAGTCACATTGAAATCATTTTTTAGGGCAACAAAAATGATTAAGGGTCTGGAACACATGACTTATGAGGAGAGGCTGAGGGAACTGGGATTGTTTAGTCTGCAGAAGAGAAGAATGAGGGGGGATTTGATAGCTGCTTTCAACTACCTGAGAGGTGGTTCCAGAGAGGATGGTTCTAGACTATTTTAGTGGTAGATGAGGACAGGCCATGGAGTAATGGTCTCAAGTTGCAGTGGGGGAGGTTTAGGTTGGATATTAGGAAAAACTTTTTCACTAGGAGGGTGGTGAAACACTGGAATGTGTTACCTAGGGAGGTGGTAGAATCTCCTTCCTTAGAAGTTTTTAAGGTCAGGCTTGACAAAGCCCTGGCTGGGATGATTTAATTGGGGATTGGTCCTGCTTTGAGCAGGGGGTTGGACTAGATGACCTCCTGAGGTCCCTTCCAACCCTGATATTCTATGATTCTAAGGGGCTATTGGGCTGTTAGGCATTATCAGGACAGGATTGTATTCCTATCAACTCCAGAGAAAGGGAAGTGCCTAGAAAATGTAAAAGGAAAATTAGTTTGATAGCATCCTGTCTGGCAAGAACTCACTTATCAATAGCTGGGATGTGAAATCCTCACTTCTGTATTGTTTTGTCATTATAGTTCCCACTTTGCTATTGTTTGTCTGTATAATCTCTGTCTGGTTCTGTGACTGTTCCTGTCTGCTGTATAATTAATTTTGCTGGGTGTAAACTAATTAAGGTGGTGGGATATAATTGGTTAAATAATCATGTTACAATATGTTAGGATAGGTTAGTTAAATTTCAGGAAAATGATTGGTTAAGGTATAGCTAAGCAGAACTCAAGTTTTACTATATAATCTGTAGTCAATGAGGAAGTGAGTGGGAGTGGGTGTGGGTGGGAGGGGGTGGGGTTGGGCATGCGGGTGAGGGAGATGGGAACAGGGAATGGGGGTAAGAAAATTGGAATCATGTTTTGCTAAAGGGGGAAATGGGAACAGGGAATGGGAGTAAGGAAGTTGGAATAATGTTTGGCTAAGGGCAGGAATGGGAACAGGGACACAGGTGTAAGGCTCTGTGGTGTCAAAGCTGGGAAGGAGGATACTAAGGAAGGAAACTGGAATCATGCTTGCTGGAAGTTCACCCCAATAAACATTGAATTGTTTGCACCTTTGGACTTCGGGTATTGTTGCTCTCTGTTCATGCGAGAAGGACCAGGGAAGTAAGTGGGTGAAGGAATAAGCCCCCAAACACTGCCCAAAGCGAGACCAAGTGGAAATGGCTCCAAACTCTGTAAAGAATCAGATTCTGTCTGTGTTTCTGACAGACCAGATGGAGTGAGAGTGTGTTTCTGGGAAACCCAGAGGAAGCTTCGAGCAGGCAGCTGGGGGTGTTCTGAAGAATCAGAAATGGCTCCAGTTAAAATCAACCATGTGGTGTCCTTCACCTCTCAGGTAATAATGCTTTTCATCTTCAACTGCAGGTCTTTAATTGGACGTGAGAGGGTGCTACATTTTGCTGCAGAACTCTGCATGCCCTAGGACTGTGAGATCCTTGAGTGAAATGCCTTATAGAAATTGGGGGTCTGATCCTCTGTTGGTATAAACTGACATAGATCCAGACTTCCCCACTTTACACCAGCTGAGGATCTGACCTGGAAAGTGTTGTGAATTGGATACAGTATTCTTCCTGCCGTAAACTGTTGTATAATGTTTCTGTGTGCTGATAAACATCTACCACACTTCACCCCAGAAATGGCTGCACTTCACCAGTAGGTAAGGTCTGATCCGTTTGTAAAATCTGTAATCTGCTTTGAGATCATTACTAGAGAACAGTAGCTCTTGCTGACTCTTTCCCCCGCCCCCCTTCTATCCCAATCCCTCTACTAAGCACCCTGCTTCTGCTCTCTCCCCTCCCCACTGGTCTGATGCAGGACCCCAGGTATCCAGTGGAGAATCTGCTGCATGATGATGGCATTCACCCGTGGCTGAGCTGCCCCCAGGATCGGAGCAGGCAGCTGAAAGTGGAGCTGCAGCTGGAACGGGCTAGTCCTATCGGCTACATAGACATAGGTATGAGAGAGGGAGAAACAGAGACCCCAACCCCTTGTGGGCAGTCTAACCTGCAAATCTCTCTGGGGTCTCCTGCAATGCCACCGTGCTTGTCTCTACGCTTGAAGGGCTTGTCTTCCTTGTTAATTCATAGAATATCAGGGTTGGAAGGGACCTCAGGAGGTCATCTAGTCCAACCCCCTGCTCAAAGCAGGACCAATCCCTAATTTTGCCCCAGATCCCTAAATGGCCCCCCTCAAGGACTGAACTCACAACCCTGGGTTTAGCAGGCCAATGCTCAAACCACTGAGCTATCCCTTCCGAGGAGTCCAGAGGTTTCTAGCTACTTCCCCATACTGCAGTGGTAACATGGTGCACTTGTCTCTTGTCACAGTGGTCCTTGTTTTACTGATGGAGAAACTGAGGCACAGTGAGGGGAGGTGACTTACCCAGGTGAGACAGGGGCAGGGCAGGGCAGTTGCTTGACTGCTAGTCCCCTTTCTAACTAGCCAGCCACAAGGAGAAAGTCTCTCCCTGTTAGCAAAATGTTCACCCCATATCTCGTGCCAGTGGGTGAATTGTGGTCAGTCTCTGTCATGTGCTGGGATACTGGTCCCTGGGGTGCAGATTAGAACAACATCCCTCCTCAAAGCCGCCATTGCTGCTGGCGCCTGATGGGCCTCTTATGGGTGCTCCCAGCAGAGAGTGAACAGGCCACGGAGACCAAACAGCCCCACTCCCTTCCCATTGACAGCTCTTTGGGGTTCCAGTATCAGTGCCCAGGTCTGGCTGATCAGTTTCACTGCAGCTCAGAGCTGAGGGAGGTTCAGCTGCTCCAGGCCTGACCTTTGCCCCTCCACGCGCAGGGAACTGCGGCTGTGCTTTTCTCCAGGTGGACGTGGGGCGCTCCTCCTGGCCGCTGGACCAGCCCTATGTTACCCTGGTGCCCAGCACTACACTGATGACGCCGGCTGACTCAAAGCTGGACAGGAACCGCTCCGGGGTCCGGATGTTTAAAGAGGGTAAAGAGGGCCCAGCTCACATGAGTGGCTGTGGGTCACTGGCTGGGTATCATTGATTAGGGCTCATGGGTGGTGGTGCATCGTGCCTGCCCTTCTATGCCTTGTTATGGCAAGTAATCACATTTCATGATGGGAGTTCATCCCATCTCCAGGGCTGCCCTCTCTCCAGGTATTCATACGGGCCCCGCATGGTAGGATCTGGGTACCTGAACTGGTCACCCCTGTTCCTGTACGTGTACAATTGCCCTGGGGCGTTCTTTTTTTCTTCCTCTGAATCAACAAGTATTGGCCACTGAGACAGGATTAGGTGGGCCATTGGCTGGAGCTACTGGGGAAGTAGCCTGGATGGTCCTGATGCGTTGATTTGGTTTGTCATGCGGGGTGGCGGGGGGTGTTGTCTCAGGGGGTTTCCAGGATGGATTAGATGTGGTGGTAAGCTAGGGTCCCTGTGGTTGGATCTGGCACTGTGGGGAGTGGTGGTCCCAGAGGTTAGAGCTGGTGCAGTGAGGTGGTGGAGTACCAGTTGGGATAGTCCCAGTGGTTGGATCTGTGGAGCTGGGGCCCCATGATTGGATATGAGGTGGCAGGGCCATGTTCCTGTGTTGACTGCAAGGCCCTTAGAAGGTGGCAGCATCTCGCTCCAGGAGTGAAGCAGCCCATCTGCTCCTGTTCTGTCCGCAGGGGATTTCCTGGCGGCGGCGCTGGGCGAGAAGTGGGATCGCGTGAGGATCACCTGCAGCCAGCCCTTCAACAAGCAGGCCCAGTTTGGCCTCTCCTTCATCCACATCCGTACCCCGTTGGACCCCAATCACAGCCAGGCGGCTCCGGCTCCGCCCTCGCCCCAGGTCCGTGCCTGCGAGCAATCCCCCTGCTCCTTGCACATGAGGGGTGGGGGGGTCTGGGCTGGAAGGAGGAGGTCTCTGGTTGCTGCTGTGGCTGGTGCTCTCGCCCCCTGGCTACAGTGGGGATAGGCCAGTGGCCTGCTCAGCCCACCCTGGGTGCTGCGTGGCCTATGCACTTGAGTGTGCCAGGTTCAGAGGGGGAGGAGACCTGTCAGCTCCTCTAGGTGCCCGACGGGGACCAGTGCAGGATTGTTCCTGTGTTATGTGCTCTAGTGCACTGGCCATGGGGTGGGCTGGACAGGACTTGAGGGTCTCTTCCCTCTCTACTGCTACTAGTTCTCTGCGCACGCTGGCTCTGGAGGTGCTGGGGGATATCTCCCATGAAAGCAGGGCTCTGAGCTGTGTTTCTCTCTCCCCCAGATGGGTCACGAGCCCGCAGCCAGCCCCTGGCTTGCCAGCCCCGCCTTTCGCAGGACTTTTTTCCCGGAGGTGCAGCCGTAAGTACCCTCGGGGGAGCAATCGCCTTTCAGAGGGAGGGGCTGTGCCTTGGAGCTGTGGGGCTGGGCCAAAGGCAATGGCATGGGCGGCTTCCCCTCCCTCCTGAGGCTGTCTTGGTGCCAGTGACACTCACATGGAAGCTGCTCCTATGGGTCCCAGCTGGGGGCTTGCCAACCCCATTCCAGTGGCTCAGGCTGGGAGGAGCCCCTGGTCCTAGTGATTGCGTCCCCTCCCAGAAACCCTCTCCTCTCCTGGCACAGCCTCTCTCTGTGCATTGCCCCCATCGACTGGGCTGGATGGCCAGGCTGCCGCTCGGGGCTGCTCCAGGGGGCTGTTCTCCGCCAGCTGGATCTAGCCCTGTGCTGTGGCCTGAGCCGGACGGGAGCTGAGGTGGCGCTGGGAGCAAGCCCCTCAGGATGCCCTCCAGGCCAAAGCCGTCATGGATGGCAGCCCCTTCCAGCTGGTGTCTCCCACCCCTCCCCATGAACGAGCCCCTGCTGCTACCATTGTATCCTAGCCCAGGGTGACTGCAGGATAGACTGTCTGACTCGCACGTCCAGCTGTGGGGTGAGTGGGGCTCTGGACCAAAGTCCCGATCATTCCCTGAGCTGATGCTGGAAGGGATTTGGTACTGGCCTTGCGGAAGATACCTTCCAGGGTTGGGAGCAGGGAGTGTCTGTCCCGTTCAGGGGCGTTCCCTGGCCAATCGGCAGGAATCACTGGGTCTCTGGCTCTCTGCGCCCAGGAGCAAGGGGGAGGAGGAGGAACTGAAGAGCCGACTGCAGCTGCTGGAGCCCAGCTGCGGGCCTCACCCACGCAGCCCAGCCTGTCTCAGCCGGACAGCCAGGATGGTGCTGTCGGCGGCCCAGTCGCGCAGCCGCACTCTCCAGCTGGGCCCCAGCGCCACCTCTTTGGCCGCTGAGAGACAGGCGAGCAGCCGGGGGCAGCAGGGTGAAGATCCAGCCGTGAGCCCTGCAGCAGCAGGTGAGTGGGAGCCCGTCGCAGCCACGTGGGGACTCGAGTGGGATCCCACAAGCTCCTTCTCTGCCCAGCTGAGCTGGGGATGCTGCAGCCTGGGCGGGCCCTCTGCAAAGCCGTCCCGCCCCCTCGGGTGGGATCAGCAGCTGCTCTTCTGGCACGCGCTCCTGTAATGATCCAGAGAGCGATGGGCATCTGGGACGACCTGGCATGGCACCCTCTGCCCAGCTGGCAAAAGGCACCCACAGGGCCCCCCGGCTGGAAATGCTGCCTACAGACCACGGATCCCAGGCTGCTGGAACGTGCCCAGGCAGCTGATGGGGAATGTCCACCTCCGCCCTGGGTAAGGCCTGCTCTGTCAGTCCTCAGCCAACAGAGGGTCACACCGTTGCTGGGCGGATGAGAGGAGACCGAGGTAGATGAGCATTTTTGGGTCCCATCCAGGTTGTCCCTCTCCATATCCAGGGCAGGACTGGCCCTACGCTCTCTGGCAGAGACCCCAACTGGCCCATCTCTTCCTTAGAGGCAGGCGCCAAAGGCTGTGAAACCGTTCTGAGCTCTGGGCTGGTGACAGCCCTCACAGATGGGCTTTCCACTGGGAGACTGTTCCACAGGAGGCGATCTCGCTGTCAGCAGCTTCTGTTTCATTTCCTCCCATTGCTCTCGTTCCAGCCCCCTCCCGCTCTAGCCAGCTCCCCTCTCTCTTTGGGGTCTCGACCCTCTGAGCGCAGAGCTGGCTTCCCCCAAGGTAGCTGAGCACCATCAGCCCTTGGTCCCCTGGTGCAGACTCCATGGGCTGGGCTTACCTGGTGTCCATCTCGGCCAGTGAATCATGTCCTTCCCCCATGTATTCATGGCTCAGCATCTCCATTCAAAACTGCTTCTTGTTGATTCTGGAGCATGTGAAGCTCCCGGTCTCCAGTCCCACCAAACTGCCTGTCAGTGGCACATCTGCAAGTGTTGGTGGCAGCTTGGCTTGATTGTGTGGCCTGGTGGGCAGAGCCCTGGGCTGGGACTCGGGAGACCTGGGTTCTAGTCTCAGAACTGCCACTGGGCTGCTGGGTGACCATGGGCAAGTCATTTCCCCTCCCGCTGCCTCAGTTTCCCCATCTGTGAAATGGGGACAGTGATCCCAACCTACTTTGTAAAGCTTTATCCAGGAGCTAGGTACAATGCTGATGCTGGTTATTCTCCAGGCCCCATGCAGGATGTCCATGACGCTCCACCCCTGAGGAGGGTCCGGGTGAAGCCAAGCAGGAGACGAAGATCGCAAGGTGCCGCAGGGAGGTAACAGATCATCCCTGTTGTGTTCCCCTTAACCCTTCAAATGTCCCGATTTCCCCTTTGGAGCCCAGCTGGCAGCTCCTTTTCTGAGCCAGTGTCCCAGTCCACGCAGTGCCTTCCTGGGGCTCTCCTCTGGGTCTCAATCACAGCCAGTGGGTGCGTAGGATGGGATAGCCGGAATGAGGGGATCCTGGTCCTTCCAGCCACGACCTCTGGTGTGTCTCAACAGGCAGGGCAGCTTCTCTGAGCCTGGGCGGTACTTTAACCTTTGGGGTGCGAGGGCAAAGGACACTGCAGACTGGAAAAACAAATGCTTCTGAAATCTCTCTCTGCAGGTCAATGCCCAGGCCTGGCACCCAGGGAGGAAGAGCCAGGGGCTGGGGAGGAAGGCCCAACAAGCTGGATGATCGTGGAGAGGCAGACGGGGAGATGGGTGTATGCCCCATCTGTGCGGGTGAGTGTTCTGGAGTGCGGTCTACAACAAGTGCCTTAGAGCATGTGTCGTCCTGCCTAAATCACTCTCTTCGGAAAGGCCTTTGGGTCCGTCACACACACACTGGATCTGTGAGGCTCATGTGATCCACCCCTGAGATGCAGCTGGCTCTCAGGTTGAGCGTGGCAGGCCCCTCCCTTAACTCAGCTGGTTGTAAAAAAGGCGTGATGTGATCCCTGCCCATCTGGTGGGTTTGCAATCAGTGGGGTGTTCAGCTTGGCATCTCGCTTGATTCCGTCTCCAGAGCTGGACTTGAAGAAGAAGGTGAGCATAGACTTCAAGGTGAGAGCGGACCATTGTATCTGTCTAGTTTGATCTGGAAACTGTCCAAAGACCCTCACCCCATGAGTCTGGCATCCAGCCCAGTAACTTGGTGTTGAATTAGAGCAGTGTACTCAGACCGCAATGGTTCAGGAGCCAAATTAGCAACCAACATTACCCAAAAGAGCTACAGTAGTGTGAATTCAGCTTTTCCTTTGCTACAGTACTATAGAGTGAGATTTAAAACAGCGTGACGGGGAAATATTTAGTTTTTATATCTATATATTATTCTCAGAGCAAAATGACTAACCAAGTATTGTTATTTTAACAACTACAATTGGTTAATAACCTAGTAAAAGCATCCTGATGGGTTAATAACTTAGATGGGTTAATAACTCAATCACACAGTGTTTTAATATCGTGTACTGCACAGATCCGCAAGGGACACATTAAAGAGTCAGTTGCAGCTAGCGAGCCTCCATGCAAGTATCTCTGAACTAGAGTGTATCTTTACGGTCTGTTTACACTGCAAGGGGAGGTGTGACCGTAGCATGGGTAGGCAGACCCGTGCCATCTTTAATCCAGTTTACGTGAGTAACAATAGCAGTGAAGATCCAGCAGCACGGGCTAGCAACTGGGGACGTACTCTCGTTGCTAGCCCACGCTGCCGTGTCTTCACTACTGTTATTACGCAGGCTAGCTGGATGAAAGGTAGTACGGCGTTCCTACCCGTACTACAATTACACCTTTGTTTGCAGTGTAGATGTGCCATTAGAGAGGCAGCCAGTCTGGATTGTAACCCATCTGACCACCATGGGGTGTCTCAAAGGCAGAGTCTCACGCAGCATCCTTAAAACATCAGTAATAGCTCAGTTCCAGAGTTCCAGTCCCATCCCCTTTTACTGCCATGAGGGATTTCCTTGCACTCTCCCTCTCTCTCCGGTCTTAGTCACAGCCTTGCTTCCTTTATTCATGACTTTGCAGGGAGACGTGGACTAGAAAGATAACCTCCTGAGGTCCCTTCTAGCCTTGCGTTTCTATGATTCAAACTTGGTTACCTAAAAGGTATCCACTTAAACCCATACTTGGGTGCCCCAGTGGCTTGATTTTCAGAGCAGCCAAGCGCCCAGCAGTTCAGCTGGCTTCAGCCACACCTGCTTAAGGAGACCCAAAGGGGTGCAGGGAGGTGAGGTTGGTTTCACTGCCCATGGTTTTGTTTGCGGAAGTTGTCGAACGCACAAAACCAGGGTTTGAGCTTGGAGACAGGCTGCAACTACACTCCACCAACCTGATTCTCCCCCAGCACTTTCAATTGGCTATGGGAACCTTCGCTGCTGTTCAACAGCTGTCGTGTGCCACCCCAGAGGTGGCTGCATTTCAATGGCAGGTGAATGCATACAGTGGCCTAGGCTCCTTCAGAATGAAAGCTCTGCTCTAGGAATTATTTTGGGACGGTTCTCTGGCCTGTGTTATACAGGAGGTCAGACCAGGTGATCCCAGTGGTCCCGTCTGGCCTTGGAATTTTATGATAAGCACTATATACATGTTGATTGTTGTAAAGTAATAAACTGCACTCTGCATGCTACTGCCCTCTCCTGGATGGAATCAGAACTGCCTAGTTATGCAGTAGGCCCTACACAGGGAATAGTTGACGAAGATCGAGTGACAAGGGCTGGGGTTCCAAGTTCTAACCTTGCTCTCAGCCTGAAAACCCAGGTGGCCAGTGCATGCAGTACGTTGGCAGCCAGGAAGTCCAGGTGGCCCTGGGTTAGCTCTGCTGTCATCTCTTCTCGCTGCAGGCTGCTTCAGCACAGATCTCCTTCCTGTTCACGCCTCTGCCTGTGGGGAAGATGGCTCCCTTCCAGACACGGCCTGGCCATCCCCACCACGGGAAGATCCCCGGCGCGAGGAGCTCCCTGAGGCTTGGGTGCCGTGCCCCATCTGCGAGTTCCGGTTCAGCACGGCGGAGGTGGAGAGGCATGCCAGCACCTGTGGGGAGCAGGCAGGAGCCCTGGAGAACCCCCGTTCCTGGCTGTGGGTGGAATAGGGCTGGCAGGGCCAGGTTGGGTCGTAGAGGCACAACACTGGCACATGCCACGCTATCCTCCCCATCAGCTCCATTTGAGGTATCTCTGTGTCTGAACCTCGGGGTCACTCTGCCCAGCTGGGTTGGAGCCTCCTTTGGACTGAAGGGCCATAGCCGTCATGGTGACCCTGGGACACAGGCCACATTTCATGGGCGTCCTGGAATGCTTTCAGCCCTGGGACAACTCCATTGACTTCAGAAGGGTAACACTGGGGATGGACTAGCAGCTGTACAGCAAAGAACAAAACGATGGTCCTGCCCCAAACCGCTTACGACCTAAGCGTACAACAAGAGACAACAGACGGAGACAGACTGAAGTGGGAGCACAAGGAAACAAAGACTGTTATCAGCCAGCACGGCAGGTGTGGGTCTCAGCACATCAGTAGCCTGACTACTGTCAAGTTTTTTTGTCAGCCTCACAGCAAAAGAGAGTTGAGGGGGGGATTTGAAGGACAATGATGACTCAACCAGAGCCAGACAGACTCACACATTCACATACACCTGTGATGCAGGGAAGGACTGTTAGTAGTGTTGGTGGAGCTGTGTAGGTCCCAAATTAGAGAGACAAGATGCGGGAGGAGATATCTTTTATAGGACCAACGTCTGGTTGGTCAGAGAGACCAGCTTTCGAGCCACGTAGAGCTCTTCTTCAGATCTGGGAAAGGCACTTGGACTGTCACAGCTAAATACAAGGTGGGACAAGTTGCTAAGCATAAGGCATTAACATATGTTGCAAGAGACCACTCCAGGTGAAGTGGGCAGCTAACTCCTCTGTAGTCACATGCCAAAGGAGGCTTAGTGGCTTATGGATTGTTGTAATGAGCCATAAATCCAGTGTCTATATCAAATCTGTAATTTTTGGTGTCTAGCAAAGTTAAGATAAGAACAGCCAGACTGGGTCAGACCAATGGTCCATCTAGCCCAGAATCCTGTTTTCCGACAGAGGCCAATGCCAGGTGCCCCAGAGGGAATGAACAGAACAGGGAATCGTCAAGTGATCCATTCCCTGTTGCCCATTCCCAGCTTCTGGCAAACAGAGGCTAGGGACACCATCCCTGCCTATCCTGGCTATTAGGCATCAATGGACCTATCCTCCATGAATTTATCCAGTTTTTTTTTTTAACTGCTGTTAGTCTTGGCCTTCACAGCATATTCTGGCAAAGATTTCCACAGGTTGACTGTGCGTTGTGTGAAGAAATACTTCCTTTTGTTTTAAACCTGCTGTGTATTAATTTCATTTGGTGACCCCTGGTTCTTGTGTCATGTGAAGGGGTAAATAATACTTCCTTATCTACTTTCTCTGCACCAGTCATGATTTTATAGACCTCAATCATATCCCCCCTTAGTCGTCTATTTTCCAAGCTGAAAAGTCCCAGTTTTATTAATCTCTCCTCATATGGAAGCAGTTCCATGCCCCTAATCATTTTTGTTGTCCTTTTTTGAACCTTTTCCAATTCCAATATATCTTTTTTGAGATGGAGTGACCACATCTGCACGCACTATTCAAGATGTTAAGTATTTAAGCTCCCAGGCTCGTCTTTGGAAGGTGTTGTGCAGGTTTCCTTGGAGGATGGGAATTGAGAGGTCAGGTACGGAGTGAATGTTTTATGAAAAGTGTCTCCTTTCCCCCACGTAGTTGTTATGGGGGGTGAGCTCAGGTGGCTAGCCTGAAGCATCCATGCTGCTATTTGTCGTGTGCTGGATCTGGCGAAGCTAGAGCGCATCTGTCTACCTGGTTGGGAGACTCACTCCCAGCTGCCATGTTAGATGTACCCTTAGATACCAAGGTGACAGGTAGGAACAGAAAGAGGGACCCCACTTAGAGGGAGGACAGCCTTGTAGTTAAGGCGCTGGCCAAAGGGCCAGGTGCTCTGGGTTCTAGTCCCAGTGCTGCTGTCGTGCGTCTATCACGTCATCTCTGTGTGCCTCAATTACCATCTGTAAAATGGAGAAGACAATAAAGCTCTTCAGGGCAGGGCATGCCCGTTAGCATGTGCAGTGCCTATCATTGTGGGATCCTGATTTCAGTGGAGGCCTGTAAGTGCTACTTCAGTACATGTAATAATGACTCCCATTCCCCGCATTTAACTCGTAGGATGCACTGCAGTGTGGGTCTGTCAAGGTTCCTCCCCCACTCTGAACTCTAGGGTACAGATGTGGGGACCTGCATGAGAACCTCCTAAACTTACTTTTACCAGCTTAGGTTAAAACTTCCCCAAGGTACAAATTAATTTTATCCTTTGCCCTTGGAATTTCCACTGCCACCACCAAACTTTAACTGGGTTTACTGGGAAATGTAGTTTGGACACGTCTTTCCCCCCCAAATCCTCCCAACCCTTGCACCCCACTTCCTGGGGAAGGTTTGCTAAAAATCCTCACCAATTTGCATAGGTGACCACAGACCCAAACCCTTGGATCTTAGAACAATGAAAAAGCATTCAGTTTTCTTACAAGAAGACTTTTAATAGAAGTAAAGGAATCACCTCTGTAAAATCAGGATGGTAGATATCTTACAGGGTAATTAGATTCAAAACATAGAGAATCCCTCTAGGCAAAACCTTAAGTTACAAAAAAGACACACAGACAGAAATAGTCATTCTATTCAGCATAGTTCTTTTCTCAGCCATTTCAAGAAATCATAATCTAACGCATACCTAGCTAGATTACTTACTAAAAGTTCTAAGACTCCGTTCCTGTTCTATCCCTGGCAAAAGCAGCATACAGACAGAGAGACCCTTTGTTTCTCTCCCTCCTCCCAGCTTTTGAAAGTATCTTGTCTCCTCATTGGTCATTTTGGTCAGGTGCCAGCGCGGTTACCTTTAGCTTCTTAACCCTTTACAGGTGAGAGGATTTTTCCTCTGGCCAGGAGGGATTTTAAAGGGGTTTACCCTTCCCTTTATATTTATGACAGGGTCGCACTGAACTGAATTCCCAGGAATAGGGGATCTCCACCCCATGTGGTTACGGGTAGATCCAGAATGGTACCGTGCTCTCGCTACTGCTCACTTGCAGGAGGGCGGTTGGTAATTTACAGACACAGCTGCCTCCTGATTCTCTGGGGACTCGACGTGTCTCATTGGCACTGGCAGAGTGGCGAGAAGGAAGCATTGAGGGACCTTCATTCTACACTGCGAAGCTGATGCGGTTTAGGCATGGCTGGTTAGTGCTGATATTTAGCAGAGCTAAAGCATTGTGTGTCTCATCCTGTCCCGTGCTGAGCCAATCCATGTGAGGACCCAGCTGGCCCCCAGACGTTTAAGAGCCTTCCTTTACCTAACAGACTAGTTCTCAAAGATGTGGGGAACACTGGGAGCTGCAGGGTCCTGCTAGGGCAGAGGTGGGCAAACTACAGCCCGTGGGCCACATCCGGCCTGCAGGACCGTCCTGCCCGGCCCCTGAGCTCTTGGCTGGGGAGGCTAGCCCCTGGCCTCTCCCCCGCTCTCCCCCCCTCCCCTGCAGCTATGCTGCCACGCAGGGAGCGCAGTTGTGCTCGCCCACCTCCCAGGCACTGAGCTGCATGGTAGGGGGAAGGGGGGGTTGGATAAGGGGCAGGAGGTCAGGGGGCAGTTGGGTGGGGCAGAGGTTGGGGGGGCGGTCAGGAGAGAGGAAGTGGAGGGGGGGTTAGGTGGCCCTGGGAAGGGGGGGACAGAGCAGGGGGGGTTGGATAGAGGGTGGGGTCCCGGGGGCGGCAGTTAGGGATGGGGATCCCGGGAGGGGACAATCGGGGGACAAGGAGTGGGGCAGGGGGCCAGGGTGTGGATGGGGGGCAGGGCAGTCAGAGGACAGGGAGCGGGGGTGTTGGATGGGTCGGAGGCTCTGAGGGGGGCAGTCAGGGGGTGGGAAGTGGGAGGGGGCGGATGGCGGTGGGGACCAGGCTGTTTAGGGAGGCACAGCCTTCCCTACCCGGCCCTCCATACCATTTTGCAACACCGACGTGGCCCTCGCAACCCTGATGTGGCCCAAAAAGTTTGTCAGCCCCTGTGCTAGGGCATCTGGGCAGCTGTCTGTGATAGCGCAGTCGGCCTTCAAGCAAGAATGTTTTTTGTCAGCTGTTGGCCAGTCCATGGCTCGAAGATGACTCCAGAGACTAAACGAAGATAACCAAGCACATCTCTGATTGCTGAGCAACTGCTTCACATCTGTCAGCCGTTCTTTGGCATCAATCCGACCACGATCATATTTGCAGATGATGCAAAATCACAAGGTGGGAGCAAATGTGCAGGTGTCCAGAACCCAAACTAGAGAGACCTGGAGAGATCAGAGCGGAGGGGGCTGCAGGCAGCAAGGGGACACATGATCCTAGTAAGAATGAAGTCCTTCAATCAGGGAGGAGCTCCCTGGGCCATTAATGCTGATTTTTCAATACGTCTTGGAGCACTGGGGTAGTTCCAGGGGACTGCACGAAAGCTAACATTGGGCCAATATTTAAAAAGGGTAAGTGGGATGATCTGGGTAATTATAGGCCTGTCAGCCTGACATAAGTCCTGGCAAAGATAGTGGAGCGGCTGATATGGGACTCGATTAATAAAGAATTAAAGGAAGGTAATATAATGAATGTAAATCAACATGGGTGTATGGACAATAGATTTAAACTAACTTTATCTTTTTTTTGATGGGCTTGCAAGTTTGGTTGATAAAGTGTTGATGTAATATACTTCCGTAATGCATTTGACTTCGTATGACATGACATTTTGATTGAAAACTAGAGTGCTATAAAATGAATGTGGCGCACATTCAATGGATTAAAAGTTGGCTGGCTGCTAGGTATCAATGTAATTGTAAACGGGGACTCCTCAAACGGGTGTGTTTCTGCTGGAAGCCCCCAGGCATTGGTTCTTGGCCCTACATGATTTAAGATTTTTATCAATGACTGTCATAAATATAAAGGGAAGGATAAACACTTTTAAAATCCCTCCTGGCCAGAGGAAAAACCGTTTCACCTGTAAAGGGTTAAGAAGCTAGGGTAACCTCGTTGGCACCTGATCAAAATGACTAATGAGGAGACTAGATACTTTCAAAAGCTGGGGGGAGGGAGAAACAAAGCCTCTCTCTCTGTCTGTGTGATGCTTTTGCCAGGGACAGAACAAGAATGGAGTCTTAGAACTTAGTAAGTAATCTAGCTAGATATGCGTTAGATTCTGATTTCTTTAAATGGCTGAGAAAATAGATTGTGCTGAATGGAATGGATATTCCTGTCTTTGTGTCTTTTTGTAACTTAAGGTTTTGCCTAGAGGGATTCTCTATGTTTTGAATCTAATTACCCTGTAAGGTATCTACCATCCTGATTTTACAGAGGTGATTCTTTTTACTTCTATTAAAATTCTTCTTTTAAGAAACTGATTGCTTTTTCATTGTTCTTAAGATCCAAGGGTTTGGGTCTGTGGTCACCTATGCAAATTGGTGAGGATTTTTATCAAATCTTCCCCAGGAAAGTGGGTAGTAACGTTTGGGAGGATTCTGGGGGGGAAAGACGTTTCCAACTGGACTCTTTTTCAAATTATATCCCTGTTAGACGTTTGGTGGTGGCAGCGATAAGTCCAAGGGCAAAAGGTAAAGTAGTTTGTACCTTGGGGAAGTTTTAACCTAAGCTGGTAAAAGTAAGCTTAGGAGGTTTTCATGCAGGTCCCCACATCTATACCCTAGAGTTCAGACTGGGGAAGGAACCTTGACAATGACCTAGAAGAAAACACAAAATCATCACTGATAAAATTGCAGATGACCCACAAATTGGAAGCGTGGTAAATCAGAGGACAAGTCACTCCATACAGAAACATCTGGATCGCTTGGTAAACTGGGCACAAGCAGACAATCCGTGTTAATTTAATAAAGCCCCATCTAAATGTCTCCATTTAGAAAGAAAGCATGCAGGCCGTACTTCCAGGCTGAGGGACTCTATCCTGGGAAGCAGTGACTCTGAAAAAGATTTGGGGGTCATAGTGGATAATCAGCTGAACATGAGGACCCAGTGCGATGCTGTGGCCTGAAAGGCTAATGCAATCCCTGTATAACCAGGGGAATGCATTATAACCAGGGGAATCTCGAGTAGGAGAAGAGAGGTTATTTTACTTCTGTGGTTGGCACTTGTGTGAGCACTGCTGGAATCCTGTGTCCGGTTCTGGTGCCCCCAAGTCAAGAAAGATGTTGCTACATTGGAGAGGGTCCAGAGAAGAGCCACAAGAATGATTAAAGGATTAGAAAACCTGCCTGATACTGATAGACTGAGCTCCTTGCGTCTATTTAGCTCAACTAAGAGAAGGTTAAGGGGCGACTTGATCACAATCTATAAGTACCTACCTGGGGAACAAATATTTAATAATGGGCTCTTCACTCTGGCAGCAGCCTAAGGTCTAACATGATCCAATGTTTGGAAGTGGAAGCTAGACAAATTCAGACTGGAAATAGGGCTTGAATTCTTAACAGTGAGTGTATTGGACCAATTTACCCAGGGTCAGGGTGGCTTCTCCATTACTGACGAATTTAAAATTAATAGTGGTTGTTTTTCTAAAAGCTCTGCTCTAGGAATTATTGAGAGGCAGTTTTCTGGCCTGTGCTGTACAGGGGGTCAGACAAGGTGACCACAATGATCCCTTCTGGTCTTGGAATCTGAGAGAAACTTGGATACCGAATGTGAGGGATGTACTCCAGCAGCCAAACCCATCCTCTTAATTCTCTCCGGAGAGGTCTGTTGCATCTAAGCAAGGAGTTCATTTGCTGCAGGGAAAGGATTAGGGTGTGAAAGTGACTGACAGACAGAGGAAAGAAAAACAACCAGAGAAAAACACCTGTAGTTTCCCTGCAGCAGCGTGGGAGGGCGGTTGCTGCTGCCCTCGTTAATTTCGCCCTCTGGGTGCCTGGAGCGGCCCTGCTCTCTGGAGAAGGGGCAGGTGGGTCCTGCTGCTCTTACCTGGTCATACCCGTGCCAGGGACAAACAAGACTTCATCTCTTCCCAGAGCTCTGGAGGGCGAACGGAGGGAGGAAATAAGACGCCAGCTGCTGTCCAGGTGGAGGGAGAAGGGCTGGAATTGGAGCTTTCTGGGCTGAGATGTAGCACAGTTTGGGACTTCATTTTGTGGATGTGAATGGCCTTGAGCACTGGCTCTGAACCAAAGCTTCTCCCACGGGTGACCTGGTCCCAGAGCGTCCTCCAGCCCTCCCCCCAGCTGGCTGCTTCTAGACAAGGAGCAGCCGGCGCAGCGGAGTGGTCTGCTGACCAGGGCTGGCCATGGAGAGCGTCATGGTGAGTAACAGAGTTCTCTCTGTAACAGCTCTGCCGTGCTGAGACCCGCCCTGCCTGTCCTGTATGCAGTGTTGGGGCCACATGTTGGGTAACGCTCCGAGGAGGAGCAGGGAAAATTGGTTGCCCAGTAGGAAGGTTGAACAGCATGGTGCTGGCCACTTAAGAGGGGCTGCTCCTTAGAGAGGGTCCTTGGCTCAGGTCTCACCCTGTCTATGGTGCGTGGGTGGCACACACAGACCATGCACTAAGGGGCTTCTCAGCCACTGATCTTCAGAGTGCTTTGTGAGAGGCCCTCTCCTGGTCCCTCTGCTTTCCCCACAACCGGCTGTAGAGCTCCTGTAGGGCTCCGTGGAGCGGCCAGTGACCTAGGAACCGGAGCAGGAGAATCCTGGGGCGAGGAGTTGATAAAAGCTGATGGTCTGTTCAGAGCTGCGCCAGGCCTACTTTAGACCTGGGCGGGCATGCAGGAGAGTTGGAAAAGGATTGGGAAGCGCAATGGGATCAGTCGGACTGGGCATGAGGGGAATGCAGTTGGCTGGGGAACTAGGACCACCTCTCCTCCCCATTATATCCTGGGTTCCCCTGCCCTGCGCTCTTGGCTTTCCCTGGGGTTCAGTTAGATACGCGCTCTTGAGCATTTAAAGATGGAGTGGGGCAAGAGAGAGGCATGGATGATGCCGGGATGGGCAATGGTTTCTGCACCAAGTCTGAGACCGCACAAGACCAAGCCATCAATGGAGCTGCAGCAGGCATGGTCTGACTCCTCAAATCCCTTGGTTGAATCATATCACAGGTGGCTCAGCCCTTCATCCTTCCAAGGGGCTGCAGAGGTACTGGCTTCCAGGCAGTGCACAGTGTGTGGCTGGATCCTGCTGGTTCCACCTAGGTGTTAAGGACCCAAGGGGTGGGAGGTGCAGTCAGTTGATCTGGGAGCTAGGAACTCCTGCCTTCTAATCCCATCTCTGCTGCTAAATCATTTGCCTCTTTTGCGCCTTGATCTCCCCATCTCTCAAATGGGGCCAGTGAACTACTGCCCAGGCCTGGGGTGAGTTTTAAGGGTTTGATATTGGTAACATGCTTTGAATTCATGCTTCTATGTGGTGGGGATTTGCTCAGGAACCCTTATCCAAAATATACCCCACCCTGCAATGCACACATTTTTACTGTGCTCTGCTCAGCTGCTTCCCTCCACCCCAGAGGTGGCTACATTGTAGTGATGCTGTATCTTACACATCAAAGTGCTTTGGAGTCCCTCTGGACAGGAGCATCTATAGAAATATAAAATAAATGTTTTGTCCTGTGTATTTAGTTACTGTTAATAACCAAACCCCGGAGGTGAAAATATTAATCAGTCACACTCAAAAGAAGCGGTGGCTACTGCAGAAACTCTGGGGTTAACAGGAAAGCTACTTCTCTCTGTATGTTTGTGCGACAGGTAAAGATACAACAGCTTAGCCATCTGAGCAGCTGCCCCCCTGAACATGGGACATGCTTTATTGCAATCCCAGACTGTACCTCTGTCCTTCCCCACTGACCTGCTTGTATGTCATGTGCAAGTGACTGAGATGAGGTATACTGAGGTTCAGGGCTGTGAGAAGTTTATGGAGGGGATGGTCTGATGAGACTACCTACAATGGCACGTGGCCCATCGGTGACTGCTAGTAGCAAATATCCACAACTGCCAGTGATAGGACACTAGATGGGGAGGGCTCTGAGTTACTACAGAGAAGTGTTTCCCAGGTGTCTGGCTGGTGGGTCTTGCCCATGTGCTCAGGGTTTAACTGATTCCCGTATTGGGGGTTAGGAAGGAATTTCCCCCCGGGTCAGATTGGCAGACACCCTGGGTGGGTTTTGCCTTTCTCTGCAGCATGGGGCAGGGGTCACTTGCTGGTATGAACTAGCGTAAATGGTGGATTCTCTGTAATTGAAGTATTTAAACCATGATTTGAGGACGTCAGTAACTGAGCCAGAGTTTGGAGGTTCTGTGGCTTGTGATGTGCAGGAGGTCAGAATAGATGATCACAGTGATTCCTTCTGGCCTTAAAGGCTGAGTTAATTACAATGATCTCCCCATGCCACATTTCTGTGTAGCGCTACTATAACCCATTTAGATCTCTGACATTCTCGGAGTTTCATTTCCCTCTTTTTACAGATGAGGAAACTGAGGCACAGAACAGGGACGTGACTTGCCCAACACCTAGTGAGTCAAATGCAGAGCTGGGAACTGAACCTAGCTCTCCTGACTTCTCTGATCATTTAGCCAATGTGACAGGCTGAATTATTTTCAAGCCAGAGTTCCTTTGCAACTAGTTCCTTGCAAATGTTCGATCACCAAGCTGAGTGAGTTAGTTCTGATTGGGTGCTGAAGTCACATAGCATTGTTTCTCTTGCCTGATTGGATGAGCCTCACTCTCACAATCAGGTGCCTGGTGCAGATAGTCCCATGGAATTCATTCCCCCTCCCCTCTTCTGTTCCTTGTACATATTCTTAAGCAGTGGGCACTACAGGGACTTAGATATGAACCAAATGATGCAACTTGTTCCCATCCACCCGGCAGGGTTTGAACCTCAGAATACCAGTGCCACAATATAGTACAGCCCCCTACCACTTGAGCTAAAGCAGTGACTCCATTTGCTGGCAGTGGTGGTAGGCTGTTATCCTTCAGGTGGACCAGCCTCTAGAGGGGCCGTACTCAGCTTTTTGTCACTGTGAATGCCAGCAAGATGTTATCTGAGCTGTTCTCCCCACCGCAGGCTGTTGCTGCATCTGGCAGGGCCCTTCTGAGCAGCTGTTCCTGAGCCCGTCACCCAGCCCCCACCTTGTTTTTCTTCTCTTTAAAGAGCATCACTAGCTGGTTTCCAGCCCCATTTGGCTCTAATGCAGTCGAGGTGCTGTGAAATATCCAAGCTGTGAATTCAATCAGGCGTGCTTAATGAAACCTGGGGAGTTAATTAGCCAGCAGGAAATTAGCACCACCACATTTCTCCTGAGGCAGCATGTGTTGTGTTAAGCAGGGAGCTGCAACCTCTGAGCCTGGAAGGGGAGGATTAATGGAAAGAGAGGTTCCCAGCCAGCAGCAGGTCTCTCTCATCCCCCATTCCAACATACTTCTGCTTCCTGCCAATGCTGCTGCTCTGCAGAGAGAGTAGCAGCGAGGAGCCAAGGGGGTGACGCTGGGTCTGAAAAGAGCTGCTGGGCCCAAAAGGAGAGAGCGCGGTGGGTGAGCAGGCCTGTGATGGCCTGGCTACCTGGTGGAATTTCAGTTCCCTGACTCGGGTTCTGATGTCTTGTGTGCAAGGCCCTGGACAGGGGTTTGCCTTGGCTGTGGGGGCAAGACCTTGTGCACGTCCCTTAATCTCTCTCCCCATCTGTAAAGGGGAAGAATAAAGCTTCAGCTTCCTCTCTCTGTCTTGTCCCTTTAAGCTGTAAACTCTCGGAAGCAGGGACTGGCTCTTGCTGTGTGTACGTACAGTGCTGAGCACAGGGGGGCCTGGGATCTCACTGGGGGCCTCTTAGCAGTGAGGTTAAAAAAAATAACAACAATCCAATGGTGGCAAGGGCTGACGGTTTGGGGGACAGAAGGGAAAGTTCAAGCCAGCCCAGCCTCCCTCTGGCAGCAGCAGCCCGGTCCTCCTAAATGGGAAAGAACCACTGGATGTCAGAAGCTCCAGTCTGTATCCTTGAGCCAAATTCATTGTTGGGTAGCTCCAACCAAGTGGCCGCTGTGGGGAGGGGCTGGGTTCTGCTCTCAGGTACGTCCCTGGAGTAATTCCACAGACCTCAATGGAGCGACTCTGGCTTCACTCCAGCATAACTGAGAGCCAGATACATCCAGGTTAGATGAGTCTGCGAGTTCTCCAGGAACACCCGCCCTGCAGACCTCAGGATGCTACTAGCTACTCATAGGAGGGATATGCCCTGATGGCTAAATCAGGCGACTGAGATTCAGGACCTCTGGGCTCCTCTCTGGGAGGAAAAGTGCTCTAGTGGCTAGAGCAGCAGGTGGAATTCAGAATACCTGGGTGCAGTTGGCTACGCTCCAGGGACTGGGGTTCACAGGGCATTTTGGTGTTTGTTCCAATTTGGAATGAAAGCAAATTTACTGAAATTTCCTGGCAAACTGGAGATCCCTAAAAATTCCATTTCTAAACCTCCACACTATGGCGTTTGTGAAAGGGCATGTGAAATTGACCCTCCGTGGGTGCTATTGACTAGCACCTGTGAAACTGATGAGACCATCAGTTTTGCTCAGCTGCTCAGCAGAAAGGAGCTTGCCATTTTCAGGCAGCCCAAGCCCCAGCTCTAGCCAGGGTTCCGGCAGCTTGTGGGCTCCTTTCCAAGGAGCTGGTGCGCTGTTTTCTGTGAGCCTGCCAGGTCCCCAGCCCTGGCTCCAGCTGGGGGTTACACAGAGGCTTGCCCACCACTGTGCCCTGCTGACTCTCTGCCCCTCGCAGCAACCCAACTGGAGGGAGATAGTCAACAAGAAGCTGAAGTTTCCCAGCGAGCTCCTCGACGCCATCCAGGAGGGGGACCTGTTGCAGGTGCAGCAGCTGCTGCAGGGGAGTGACGGGATCCTGCAGCAGCAGGCCGATGGCGAGGACCGTGCGTGGCGGGAAGCCCTCAACCTGGCCATCCGCACGGGCAGTGGGGAGATCACCGGGGCCCTGCTGCGCTATGTTAAGTTCGACTTCCGCCAGATCCATGAGGCCCTGCTGGTCGCCGTGGACACCAACCAGCCCCAGGTGGTGAAGATGCTGCTGGACCGGTTGGACCAGGAGAAGAGCATCAAGATGGACATCAAGTCCTTCTCTCTGGCCTTCTTCGACCACTCCATCGACAACGCCCGCTTCGCCCCCGGCGTGACGCCGCTCACCCTGGCCTGCGAGAAGGACCTCTATGAGATCGTGGACATGCTGGTGCAGAAAGGCCACTCCATCCCCCGACCGCACAAGATCTCCTGCACCTGCCTGGAGTGCAGCAACGGCCGCACATATGACTTGCTCAAGTTTTCCCTCTTCCGGATCAACACCTACAAGGGCATCGCCAGCCGGGCCTACCTCTCCATTGCCAGCGAGGATGCCATGCTGACGGCCTTCAAGCTCAGCCGGGAACTGCAGCGCCTCTCCTGCAAGGAGCCAGAGTTCAAGGTGAGGCTCTCTGCAGTCTCCATGCCGAGGCTGGGGTCTTGGTTCCACTCTCCGTCCGTCCTTGTTCTGCGGGTAGCCACGGTGCTGCACTCAGAATGCAGGATTCCACCTCCCGTGGGGTGATGGGTCTGCAGGACCCAGGGAATGAAGAGAGGCATCTGGTATAGGCAGGTGCAACATGCTAGACTTCAGTGGAGTTACACCTGCTTCTACCAGCTCTGAATTTGGACCCTGGGGGTTTAACACAGTCATCGTCCCTCCCCAGTGTGAGCCAGGGGTTGTGGGGGGGGGAATGACTTTTGCTTCCCCCTGATTCTACTCCATGGAGATGTTCAAACATGTGCATCGTGGCATCCACAGGAGCCAAATCCTCTGTTGAACCTGGCTGAGATATTTGCCTCTCTCCCGCCCTGCAGCAGGGAGTTCTACAGGTTAATTGTACATATGTAAATGTGTGGCCCTCTCATTCTGAGCACCCCTTGTTGTGCTGTTATGGGAGGGGCCCCGCAGAAATGGCCCCTATTGACTACGGTCATACAGTCATAGAATGTAAGGCTGAAAGGGACCTTGAGAGGTCACCCAGTCCAGCCCCCTGCACGAATAAAGGAGGCAAAGCCATGACCAACCAGAGACAAAGGGCACAAGGAAAACCCTTGCAGCAGTAGAAGGTGATGGGACCTTTGCTCAGGTATTGCCCCCTTGCCTCCCACCTGTCTCCCTCCTGCAGCCAGAGTACCTCAGCCTGGAGCTGCTGAGCCAGGAGTTTGCCTTCGAGCTGCTGGGGATGTGCCGTAACCAGAGCGAGGTGACAGCTGTGCTGAATGACCTGGGGGACAGCGAGGAGGAGGAGAAGCTGGACAGCCAGGCCTTCGAGGAGGGCATCCCCAACCTTGCCCGGCTCCGGCTGGCCGTCAACTACAACCAGAAGAGGGTGAGTCCAGGAAGGAGACTAGGAGGCTTTGGTGTCCGTAGGCAGCACTCAGCACTGAGCCAATACCCCAGTGGAGGACTAGGGGATGCTGCAGGTACAGTCTTTCAGATGAGATGTCATCCGGGAGTCAGGGTGTGAACCCTGGAATCCTGGTTCCAGGGTGCACCATTCCTCTCTAAATTCCCCCCTTAAATATCACTTGGACGTGGGATCATCTTTCACCCCATGCCCGTAGCTTTTGTTTAGTGAAGCTATGCAGCAGCTAAACCATGTGCCACCCCAGAGGTGGCTGCATGTCACTGGTAGGTGAGGGCTCTTTAGAGACAGCATGCCTGTGTACGGCTTTGGGACCTTTTGGGCTGAAAGGGCTGGGGCAACAGAAAGCTACCGGTGGTTATAAATATTTTTGTTCCCACCTGACTTACTTCCTCCCCCTGTGTCCTTCTGGATCAGTTTGTTGCCCATCCCGTCTGCCAACAAGTGCTGTCGTCCATCTGGTGCGGGAACCTGTCAGGCTGGCGTGGGAGTAACACGCTCTGGAAGTTCTTTGTCTCCTGTTCCATCTTCCTGACCGTGCCCCTTCTGTGCTTGTTGTACTGGATTGCCCCGAAGTCGCGGGTGAGCAGCCTTCCAGGCCACGATGGGACCCAACAAGGGGGCAGAGTCTACATCTGCTACTGCAGGGTTCTGACACCTCCTTCTGGACCCTCAAGAGACGAGAGACTGGCTAGAGAGACCTTGGGTCTTATCCAGGCTGCCAATCCCTACGTGCCCATGGAAACTTGATTGCAATTCTACTAATTTCTCTCCCTAGAACTGAGCCAACAGTGTGTGGGTGTAAATTATTCACCCATATCCCATGAATTTGAACTCCCCCATATTTGTACTCCTTCTGAGTTCATTCTCCATTGTTCCAGCGTGTCCGATTTGCTGCTGCAAATGCTCACGTAGGGGGAGTTTTATGCTTCCCCCTTGCTCAACTGTATGTTGATATTGGGCCCCGATCTGCGCGGGGAGATCCTTGCACAACACACTGGCTAAGCGTGCGTCGTGGCCTCCGCTAGCAGCAGCTTCGCTGTAGGGTAACAGCCTACTATTGCTGTCTGCTAATAGAGTCCCTCCTTTAGCTCTGTGTGGTGGTGCTGACGGCCCAAGGAGAGGCAGTCGCTGCGTCTGTGCAGCCCCCGCAGTGAGCTCAGTGGGTCCCAGCGCAGGCCAGGATGAGTGTGGGGCCGTGGGCCTCTGCCCTCCAGAAATTGGCAGCCGTGGGACTCTTTGCAGCTCTGAGGCGTGACGCTGCCTGTGCATCCCTGGGCAGGTTGGCAAAATGCTAAAGATCCCAGTGATCAAGTTCCTCCTCCACTCGGCCTCGTACTTCTGGTTCCTGATCTTCCTGCTGGCGGAGTCCATAGTCCTGGAGCAGAAGCACCACATCTTCTTGGGACGCAATCAGACCCTGTGGGAGAACTCCCTGCACATGCTCTGGGTGGCTGGTAGGTTGCGGGAAGAATGCCTGGCAGGGAGGGGCGTTGGCAGGGAACTACAAAAGCACAGGATTCAAGGAGAAGCAGGTGGCCGCTGCTGTCTTAAGCAGGGTGTCTAGGCCCTGTGTCAACTGTCTGCACCCCAGGGAATCCCACCCTCTGGGCGCAGCCCCCCGCTCCCCCAATCCCTCTGGGCGCAGCCCCACCCCCACCTCTGAATCCCTCTGGGCGCAGTTCCCCCCGAATGTCTATGGGCGCAGCTCCCCCACCTCTGAATCCCTCTGGGCACAGCCCCCCGCCTCTGAATCCCTCTGGGCGCAGTTCCCCCCGAATGTCTATGGGCACAGCTCCCCCACCTCTGAATCCCTCTGGGCACAGCCCCCGCCTCTAATCCCTCTGGCGCAGTTCCCCCGAATGTCTATGGGCACAGCTCCCCCACCTCTGAATCCCTCTGGGCACAGCCCCCCGCCTCTGAATCCCTCTGGGCGCAGTTCCTCCCGAATGTCTATGGGCACAGCTCCCCCACCTCTGAATCCCTCTGGGCACAGCCCCCCCAATCCCTTTGGTTGCAGCCCCCGCCTCTGAATCCCTCTGGGCGCAGCCCCCCACCTCACCCCTGAATCCCAATGTGTAGCAGCAGGAGCCGATTCGAGAGCCGTGAAGGGGGTTTCCCCCTCCAGGGTTGATCGAATTTTTGTCGCCTCTGCTGAGCCGGCCAGCACAGGGCCTGTGGCAGTTCCTAGGGGGACGCGTGCCTGCCTGGGACTGGACCGAGACCTCTCACTGACTGCGCTGAAGCCAGCTGCTGTTAATAATCTTCAGTCCCAAATCCAGCCCCCAGCAGGGCTTTGTGTCCCTAAGTCTTCTCAGCTCCTACGTAGACAGGAGGTTTCAGGGCAGATAGACGTGGGGAGGGAAATCAGCCTCCAGCAGGCGACACTGTCTGTACGTGCAGGGCCCCAGGGCTCTGGGGAAGAGAGAAACAGCTGGGTGGAGCTGGCTCGACAGGAATGAGTTGGGTGGATGGTTTCCCTGGCCGTGGTACGATGCGATAATCAATTAGCTCTGAAGGGAGCCGCACTCTCCCATTGGAACCGGCTGAGCTGAGCCCCTAGGGTCGGAATCTGCCTGTGAGCACCAGAAGTGATCGCCTGCCGCAGGCTACCTGCTCCCAGGGTTGTTTTGGTTTTTCAGACCGGTGCCCAAAGGGTGTCTGGATGCAGGCGGTGGGAGAGGATTCAGAGAAGAGCAGGGATGGGGGTGAAAGGGCTGGAGGCGTCGATCCGTGGGGATGGGATAAGAGAACTAAGGGCCGGATGCTGCATCCATTGCAGTCAATGGTGAAACCCTCCCCATGGGGGCAAGCCTGGGCGCTGGGTCGGTCTAGGGTCTGGGAGCGGCCTGCAGATCTCTCCAGGGTGCGAATCCCCACGTGGGGAGAGAGAATTGGGGGGGGGGGGCATATGGGGGCGTCGCTAGGGGTCGTCATGAATTTTATTGTGGAGGCCCCAGCTGCGATCAGGAGCCCGCTGTGCTGGGTGCTGTATGAACACCCTGCCCGGGGGAGCTGATGGGGCAGAGAGGCAAGGCAGACAAGAGGGGGAAGAAGGAAGGATGATTCCCCCGCCCCCCCCACCCGATTTGCAGAGGGGGAAACTCTGCCCAGAGGCTGAATCCAACCCACCCCCTCGGGAGGTATCTGCCCGAGGGGGCTTGGTGCTCACGCTTTGCCCCCCCACCCCGGTCAGGCTTCTTCTGGTACGAGTGCAAGGAGGTGTGGATCGAGGGGCTGCGCAGCTACCTCCTGGATTTGTGGAACTACCTGGACATCGTCATCCTCAGCCTGTACCTGGCCTCCTTCACGCTGCGGGTGCTGGTCGCCGTGAGGGGCCACCTGCACTGCCTGGACGCCCCTTCCTCGCCGGGGTGCTACTACTTCACCAGAGCCGGTGAGCAGCTGCGGCTGGGGCACCTCGGCTTTCATCTCGGCCTCCCTCCGCCCCCTCCAGCTGCTGGCCCGGCCCCGCTCCTCCCGCTCGGCATGTCTAGTGCTACACGTTCATCCCCAGAATGGGCGCTGCATGGCCTTGCTTCACCCCACCCTGCCCCGCTAGTGGGCCTCGGCCTTGCCCCGCAGACAAACCTCTCTCCGGGGGAGAGGAGCTCTCTGTGGCCTATTCGCTCCTTGGCCTCTTACCAACAAGGAGGCCTGTCAGTGCTGGCAGGGACAGTGGCTTTGCGACCGGCTTTGGATCATTTCCCCAGCCCCCGCCCCCACCCCCACCCCCCCAAGCCATCCCATCCCCTCTGTGAAACCTCCGCATACCCTACTTTGAAAGATTTCCCTTTCCAGCTCACGGCCGGACCTTTTCCTCCCTCTGGAGCCTTCCAGACCCCAAGCAGCACGTTCAGCCGCAAGTTACTGGCTCAATGACAATTATAGGCACTTTTATATGGCAAGTCGGTGTCATTATCCTCATTTTACCAATGGGGAAACTGAGGCACGGGGCAGGACAAGGACTCACCCAGCAGGCCAGTGACGGAGCCAGGAATAGCCCTCAGTCCCCACACCCTATCCACTAGGCCACACAATGAAGGTCCCCCTGCCTTTCCGGCCCTGTGTCTCTGAGGTTCCTCTCCCTGTGTGCAGGACGGCACGAGTGGCAGCCTGAAGACCCCCAGTTTGTCGCCGAGGTGCTGTTTGCGGTGACCAGCATGCTGAGCTTCACCCGCCTAGCCTACATCCTGCCTGCCCATGAGTCCCTGGGCACCCTGCAGATCTCCATCGGGAAGATGATCGACGACATGAGCCGGTAGGGGCTGAATCCCCTCCACCCCTTCACCTTGGGGTCGCCTCCCACCCTGCGACCCCATCAGACCGTCCCTAAATGGAGCCAGATGGTGGGTCCAGGCCGCGGTGCGTGAATGCCTCCCAGTAATGTGGTGCTAAGCACTGTCTGCTCTCGCTGATGTCACGAGCCAGGCCCAGAGAGAAGGCCCTCCCCCCCCCCCCACGGCGTATCTAGCGCAGGCCGCTGGCGGTGCGTGCTGCTGGCCCATGCTACGACGCTACGGGGACAGACACAGGCTGAGGATCGAAATAGGACTGGAGAGGCCCAGCAGAATGCAGCGTTCGCTTTGCTGTGCGAGCCCCTCACAGCTTGAAATCATGCGGGGGACATGTCCCTCCACCTGGCTATCGGGGTGTCCTGGGGGAATGGGCTAGGGGGCTAGCACCCCGTATTATCCACTGGCAGCTGCCTTGCATGTTGCTCTGGCAGGATGTCTTAGCCCCGTCCCTGTGGATCCACATCCACGGCTTGGTCTACACTTAGATTGCCGTAGGTACATCAGAGCTCAGGGTGTGAAAAAAAAAAACCCACCCCCCTGACCGAGACCCCTGTGCCAGCCTACCCCTGGGCACAGGTCCACCTAGGTCCAGGGAAGAACGCTCGTGGAAGCAGTGTTCCTACGGCGAGGGAAAACCCCTTCTGTGGCTGACAGCCTCATCTCCGCTGTAGGGTTATGCTGGCAGAGCTGCGGTGGCATAGGGTCTAAACTAGCTGTTCCCGCTCATGAAAGATCTTGGAGTCATTGTGGACAATTCCCTGAAATCATCCACTCAGAGTGCAGCGGCAATCAAAAAAGCGAACAGAACGTTGGCACTCATTAAGAAAGGGGTAGATAATAGGACAGAAAATATCATATTGCCTCTATATAAATTAGAGCTGTCAATTAATCGCAGTTAACTCACGTGATTAACTCAGAAAAATTAATCGTGATTAAAAAAATTAATCGCGATTAATCACACTGTTAAACACTAGAATACCAATTGAAATTTATTAAATATTTTTGGATGTTTTTTCTACATTTTTAAATATATGGATTTCAATTACAACACAGAATACAAAGTGTACACCCCTCACTTTGGATTATTTTTGATGACAAATATTTGCACTGTAAAAATGATAAACAAAAGAAAATACATTTTTCAATTCACCTCATACAAGTGCTGTCATGCAATCTCGTTATCGTGAAAATGCAAGTTACAAATGTAGGAGTTTTTTTTGTTACATAACTGCACTCAAAAACAAACCAAGGTAAAACTTTAGAGCCCACAAGTCCACTCAGTCCTACTTCTTGTTCAGCCAATCACTCAGATAAACAAGTTTGTTTACATTTACGGGAGATAATGCTGCCCACTTCTTAATTACAATGTCACCTGAAAGTGAGAACAGACATTTGCATGGCGTTGTAGTTGGCATCGCAAGATATTTACGTGCCAGATGTGCTTAAGATTCATAGGCCTCTCCATGCTTCGGCCATTGTTCCAGAGGATATACTTCTATGCTGATGACGCTTGTTAAAAAAATAATGCGTTAATTAAATTTGTGACTGAACTTGGGGGAGAATTATGTCCCCTGCTCTGTTTTACCCGCATTCTGCCATATATTTCATGTTATAGCAGTCTCCGATGATGACCCAGCACATGTTCTTCATTTTAAGAACACTTTCACTGCAAATTTGACAAAATGCAAAGAAGATACCAATGTGAAATTTTTAAGATAGCTACAGCATTTGATCCAAGATGCGGAAACTACAGAACCCAAACCACCAAAAAAGAAAATCAACCTTCTGCTGGTAGCATCTGACTCATGATGATGAAAATTAACATGCATTGGTCTGCACTGCTTTGGATCGTTACCAAGCGGAATCCATCATCAGCATGAACGCATGTCCTCTGGAATGATGGTTGAAACATCAAGGGACACGTGAATCTTTAGCACATCTGGCATGTAAATATTTTGCGACACCAGCTATAACAGTGCCATGCGAACGCCAGTTCTCACTTTCGGATGACATTGTAAACAAGAAGCAGGCAGCATTACCTTCTGCAAATGTAAACAAACTTGCTTATCTGAGCGATTGGCTGAACAAGAAGCAGGACTGAGTAGACTTGTAGGCTCTAAAATTTTACATTGTTTTATTTTTGAATGCAGGTTTTTTTTGTACATAATTCTACATTTGTAGGTTCAACTTTCATGATAAAGAGGTTGCCCGACAGTACTTGTATGAGGTGAATTGAAAAATACTATTTCTTTTGTTTTTTACAGTGCAAATATTTGTAATAAAAATATAGAGTGGACATTGTACACTTTGTATTCTGTGTTGTAACTGAAATCAATATATTTGAAAATGTAGAAAACACCCAAAATATTTAAATAAATGGGATTCTATTATTATTTGACAGGATTCTATTATTGTTTAATGTTAATTGTGATTTATTTTTTTATTGCACGATTAATCACAATCTATTTTTTTTTAATTGCTTGACAGCCCTAATATAAATCCATGGTACACCCACCTCTTGAATACTGCGTGCAGATGTGGTCGCCCCATCTCAAAAAAGATATATTAGAATTGGAAAAGGTTCAGAAAAGGGCAACCAAAATTATGAGGGGTATGGAACGGCTGCCATATGAGGAGAGATTAATAAGACTGGGACTTTTCAGCTTGGAAAAGAGACGACTAAGCAGGGATATGATAGAGGTCTATACAACCATGACTGGTGTGGAGAAAGTAAATCAGGAAGTGTTATTTACCCTTTCTCATAACACAAGAACTAGGGATCACCAAATGAAATGAATAGGAAGCAGGTTTAAAACAAACAAAAGGAAGTATTTCTTCACACAATGCACAGAGCTCTGGACATGCTTGCTTGGAACTAACCCCAATAAACATCATACTGTCTGAACTTCGGACTTCTGGTCTTCTGCTTTCTGTCTGCATGACAAGAACCAGGGGAGGGGCTAAAGGGAAAGCCCCCTAACAGTTGTGAAGGCCAAGACTATACCAGGGCTCAAAAAGGAACTAGATAAATTCATGGAGGATAGGTCCATCAATGGCTATTAGCCAGGATGGGTAGGGATGGCATGCATAGCCTCTGTTTGCCAGAAGCCGGGAATGGGCGACAGGGGATGGATCACTGGATGGTTTACCTGTTCTGTTCATTCCCTCTGGGGCACCTGGCATTGACCACTGTCGGAAGACAGGATACTGGGTTAGGTGGAGCTTTGGTCTGACCCACTCTGGCCGTTCTTATGGATGCCGGCACAGTCTCCATAGTGTCAACGTACCAAAGGGTGAGAGGGGTAATTGGCTGGCTGAGACTGTGGCGGTGCTGGGGGTGGGGGCAGTGGTGGGTTTGTGCACTGGACACATCCCCACGATGAACAGGGCTTATCAGACTAGGGTCCTCTAGGTCAGGCCCCATGGCTCCCTGCCTCTCTGATCTCCTCTCTGGGCTTTCCCCCCACAGGTTCATGTTCATCCTCATGATCATTCTTACCGCGTTCCTGTGCGGACTCAACAACACCTACGTTTACTACCAGGAGTCCCAGCGGCTGGGGAAGTACGGCTTCGCGCATCCAGGGCTCTCCCAGGGCCTCCCGGCTGGGCCAGATGCTTTGCATCGCGATGCCTGAGGCTGAGAGAAAGGGTCAAAGGTCCCTGCCCTATCCAGGCGATTCCCTGGCCCCTCTCTGGGCACACGCCAGCAACGTGAACGGGGGTTGTAGCGTGAGCGGGGAGCCGTGGGGCAGCACTTTGGGGTGCTCTGCTGATGAAGCCTGTGGTGGAATTGGGAGGCACGGTTTATCGGTAGAAGGGGATTCCGAGGAACCCTGTGGGGAGTGGTCTATGGGGAGAATGAAAGGAGCTGAAGACGGTGATGAGCACTCAGAGGGGATGTGATCAAGTGTTTGGGATGTCCGGGCACTTCGGGAGGGAGCGGGGTTGTGTGGGGCGCTGGTGGGGATTTAACGAGGAATAATGGGGTGAAAATATAGGCCGCATCTCAAGCAAACCTTCCTGGGGGCCCAGGTGGGTGCTGGCAAGTGTCTTCTGAAGGGTCCTGTAGCAGTTAGGACTTGCCCAGGAAGATCTAGTGGACACACAGGCCAATCCTGCATCACCTGGGGAGCTGCTGTTGATGTCAGTGGGGTCAGGATTGGGGCTGTCTCGCACACTTGTTAGGGTGGGGCACGCCCAGCTTGTAACCAGGCCCCACTCTTTGCTGCCCCCTTTCTGTCAGCTTCAATGAGACGTTCCAGTTCCTGTTCTGGACCATGTTCGGGATGGAGGAGTACAGTGTGGTGGACATGCCCCAGTATGCCCTGGCGGAGTTCGTGGGGCGGGCGCTCTATGGGATCTTCACCATCATCATGGTTATCGTCCTTCTCAACATGCTCATCGCCATGATCACCAACTCCTTCCAGAAGATCGAGGTGAGGGCCGCTGGCAGCCCCGCCAGAGTGCGCCTGCACCCTGGGCCCCGCCCTGGAGCAGAGTGACCCCGTGGGGAATAGGCCTCCTCTTCCGCAGCTTCTCTTCTCCCTGGCACTCCCCGCGCTGTTAAAATAACCAGCAATTGGGCAATTCCACTCAGCCTCCCCTAAATCTCCCTCCTTCCTCCTCCCCCAAGGCCCCATCAAAATGCAGTCCCTGTTGTTTGTCGTATTCCTATGTGCTGTCGAGGGCTGTGGTGCCCCACCCCAGAAGTGGCTGCATTTCTCCCTTACACACTCACTGGAGGCCCTTCGCGTACAAGGGTGAAATTCCCCTCTGTGCAGCAGGTCCATATGAGTCCCTCTGCTGATGACCCTGCACTGGGCACAGCTCTCGCTCTTGCAGTGATGCCAGCTTCCCCACTGGGCCTAGCATGTGTCCTTTGGCTTGAGAGTACGTTCCTGTCACCGTCCCTGAGCAAGCCTGCTCCTGCCTGGCCCGGCTGCAGACCAATGGCTGGTGCATGCTGGAGAAGGGTCCCTGGGTGCTCTCCTTAAGTGGATCAGGCCCCACCCACCAGCTGGGGATGCCCAGGTGTTGCACTAGCTAGTGCCACACCTGTGATCTCGAGTTCCGCCCCGCAGGGCAGCTGGTGCCCAGGATCCGAGCCAGCCTCCATCCCAGAGCCTCAGCCCCCCAGCTCTCCCTGGTGATAGAGTTGTCCCTCTCCCCTGCATGTGCCGATGCTGTTCAATACAATTTCACCCGTTATATGGCACCAAAGTGGAGGGGAGAGGGCAGGTCATGAGACCGACCAGCTGGCTGTGCTCTGAGGGAATGGGGGTGACCGTGGGGCTTCTAGAAAGTGGGTGGGAAGATCACATGAGGCCCCAAAGGTCTCTGATGGCCGCCCAACGCAGGAGGCCCCAGTGTAGATCGCAACCTGCTTTCCCCCCCCGTTTGCTTTTCAGAACGATGCGGACGTGGAGTGGAAGTTCGCCCGCTCCAAGCTCTACCTGTCCTACTTCAGGGAGGGCCTTACGCTTCCTGTACCGTTTAATATCGTTCCCACGCCAAAGTCCCTCTTCTACGCAGTCAGGTGACGTCCGCGCCGCGGCAACGAGTCGCTTTAGTACACGAGCAGCTCAGAGATGTTAGTCAGCTCAGCCTCACGAGCCAGGATAATCCCCATTGTACGGGTGGGAAACTGAGGCACAAAGTAACTTGCCCAAGGTCACACAGGGAGTCTGTGGTGGAGTAGGGACTTGAACCCACATCTCTTGAGTGCTCATCCAGGGCCCTAGATACCAGGCTATCTAGCCACTGGCGTTTCACGTTCTGGGGATCAGCTGCTTTGCAAAGAGAGTCACTTCTGAGCCGAGCTGGCTGAACTGGTTTTGTTCAAATCTATTTTCAACCAAAAATGCCCTTTTTTTTAAAACTATGACAAGTTGTGAGTAAAATATTATGGTGGGTTATTTTTGTAGAAGTTTTTCAGATTATTTCTGACTCAAAAAACCCTGAAAACTGAAAATGTTTTGGTTTTTTGCTGTCTGGTTTTTCCTTCTTTCTCTCCCTTTCCTCCTCATTTCAGTGGCAAAAGGGTGGGGAAAACATTAAAGTGGAACATTTGGAAAGTTTTCATGAATGATTTCAAGTAAATAATTGTTTTTCTTCTGAAATGTTTCTCCAAACGTACCTAGCGGTTTGTCAACCCTTTCTCCTGAGGAGACCTAGACAGGTTTGGAGAAAGGAACTAATGCAGGGAACGCTGGAGTGTTCCACAAAGGAAAAGCTTCTCCCTTGGTGCAGCGGGTTAAGGGAGATGATTCAGATATTACTAGATTTGAAGGCCAGAAGGGATCATTAGATCATCTAGTCTGACTCCTGTAGGGCAGTGTTTCTTGACCTTTTCGATACCCGAGACGGGCTTGCTGCCGTGTGTCAGGGAAATCTCAGGGACTGGCGCCGGGCCATGGACCGGTCATTGACTCTGCTGTATGGCACAGGGCAGAGGCTTTCACCCAGTTACCCCTGTACCAAGCCCAATAACTTGTGTTTCACTAAAGCATCTTCCAGAAAGGGATCTGGTCCCATTGGAAGACAATCATCATGAGACCGAGAATCTGCCACTTCCCTTGGGAGTTTGTTCCAATGGTTAATCAGCCGCACTGTTAAACATTTGGGCCTTATTGCTAATTTGATTTGGTCTGGTTTTAGTTTCCAGCCATTGGTTCTTTTTCTGTCTAGATTAAAGACCCCTTTTCTACCTGGTATTTCCTCCCTGTGAAGGTAGCTATACACTGCAATCACGTCACCTCCCCTCCTTCTCTTTGACGAGCTAAAATCAGAGCGAGCTCTGTATCTCACGGTGAGCCGTTTTCTCCAATCCCTGAATCATTTTTGTGCTGTTTCTGCACCCTCTCCGATTTTCCAACGTCCTGTTTAAAATGTGGAAGCCAGCACCAGCCGTGGTGTCAGTCCTGTATCGGGCTCGCCAATGTCACCTCCTCCCCCCACTGGCTGTGACTGAGCGAATGAACTGTGCCATGCTGCGGGCTGACTCCCCGAGAGCTGCCCTCGGGGTGACTTTGGCCCTGTCTGTCTGTCTGCGCTCTACCGAGCGTGCCGGTTCTGTTGTGTGTTTCAGCACCCACGTCCCCATGCAGCCAGAGAGGAAGGCATTGGCTGCATTGATAACGGAAAACACTGCTGCCTCCCACTGGCTCTTGCCTACGTTAGAGACACAGAGTAGAGCTGCCACCCATCCGACTTTTACCTGGATGATCCGGTTTTTGGCTTCTGGGTCTGGGTGCCGTTTAGGGTCGCCAAGTGCTCGGCGGAAAGTCAGGTCCGAAAGGGGACCTGGCAACCCTAAAGGGCACCGAACCAAAAGTCCGGTTACCGCGGGGTGAGGGGAGGCGCCAGGTTGTTAACCCATGACAGCCCCTGCTCGGCTGGGGCCACCGCTTGCCTGCAGGCAGCAACTTGAGATGACCTACCAATTGACTGGGACGTGGGGGGGCCGGGAGAGGAGTGAGCGCTGGGGCGGGGCTTTGGGGGAAGAGGTGGAGAAGGGGCGGGGCCTCAAGGGATGAGGTGGGCAGGGCCTTGGGGGAAGAGGCAGGGCAGGGATGTGGCCTTGGGAAGAGGTGGAGAAGGGGTGGGGCCTCAAGTGATGAGGTGAGCAGGGCCTCGGGGGGCCGGTTACCAGCAATTAGAAAGGTGGCAATCCTAACACAGAGGCAGTCGCTAAAAGGCTCCTATTTGCAGCCCAGCGCCCAGCACTCCCTGAAAAGACTCACTGCGGAGTGAAGCTTGTTCCCGTGGGCTCTAGTTCTCATGGCTTGTTGGCCGCAGTGCAGCTGGGGCTAGCAGACCGTCTCAGATCTGCAGCTTGGTAGCTGTCAAGGTTAAAAGTTAGGGGCTAAAGTCTCTTCTGAAGGATGATGGGCCTGAACCTGAATCCTGGAATGGTTTGGATCTGAACATTGTGGCTAGGACTCATCTCTCCATTGGGCCAGAACCAGAAACCGGCTCCAGACTCCCCCAGATTTTGGATCCCTTTGGACCTGGATTCAGATTTTAATGTAGCATCCCCAGGGCTGGCTGTACTTTCCGATGACATGTGTCCTTTTGCATTCCCCAGGGGCATCTTCCAGTTCATTTGCTGCTCCAAACCCAAGAGACAACTGGATTACCCCCCGATTCCCACCATCGTAAGTTCCCTGTCTGTCTGTCTGTCTGCAGACCGAGCCCTGGGGAAAGTTACCTTGGCATTGAGACTGCTTTATCCTCAGCCTTGTGCTCCCCTGGAGTCCATGGCAAACTTCTTTTTCAGTCGTGTCCTGGACTGTAAAATGGTTGCTTGAAGAGGGCGAGCGAGCCCCCAGGCGTTGCAAGATGCCAGGTAAATGCTAAGCCGTGCTGGTATCCGGCGCCCGTGTAACCCTGTTTCCTACCCTCTTCAGGCTAACACCGCCCTGGAGAACGTCGGCCTGGGCGGGGAGAGCCGCCGTACCTATCGGCTGCAGGTCATCAAGGCTCTGGTGCAGCGCTACGTCGACACGGCCAGGCGGGAGTTTGAGGAGAGCAGGCGGAAAGGTAACCCTGCCACTGTGCGGGGCCTTGGGCACTGGTGAACCTCGGGCCCTCCTGTTCTCTGCCCGTGGCACGTCAAGCCTAGTCTGCTGTGGGCTGTGATACTCTAGTCTCATTCGGTTGCTGGGCTTAGCGTCTGGCTGCTGGGAGGGGCTGGTGGCCTGTGATACATGGCAGCTCACACTGGATGATCTAGGGTCCTTTCTGGCCTTAAACTCTGTGACTCTATCTGATAGCTCTGGAGAGCCCCCTCCACACTGGCAAATGAGGAGGGCTTGACTGGGACTCCATAATACAGTGGGGAAGGGAGGGAAGGAGAAATAGAGGGCGGGCAGGATGAGGGTCAGGAAGAAGCAGGTGTCGCATGTCAGCAAAGTGTGGGCCACGTCCCCTTCTACTGGCCATTTCCCTGAAGGATAACTGCCTACTACTGCTGCCATTTAGTGGAGTTACTCCTTTAGCTCAGGCAGTAATGGTCTGTGCTATGCTGCAGAAGGTCCATGTGGATGACCTATGTGGTAGAAGGACAGTGGCTCCTGGAGGTTGGAACCCAACGTGCCCACGCTGCTCGTCCACCCCAAGAACTGGCTCCACATGTGCGTGTGTCTAAGGGCAGAGATGGGGATCCTTGAATCTAATGAACGCTCTTGAGCCCTAAGAGAGAAAATGTTTCCGGTATTTAGAAACGGATGTAATCTGTGTCAGGCTCCCAGTTCCCGCAGTGTAAAACCAGAGCTCAGTGGAGTGACTCCAGTTACACCAGTGTAAAAGCAGAGCCGCTGCATTGAGCTCAGTGGAGTGACTCCAGAGTTACCCCTGCGTAGCTGAGATCAGAATCGGGCCAGTAAGCCAGCCTTGCTCCTGGGGCTGCCCCCAGGCGAGATGCACAAGGATGCCACTCGCCGAGCAGGCGTGATGGTTACCAGTGGGCTGCGGTGAGTGCAAGGCGGGCGGGCTCTCCCCATAGCCCTGCGCTCACCTGGCCCTGCCTGTGCTTCGTTCCCAGACCTGGGGAACCGTATCACCGAGCTGAACAAGTCGGTGTCACGCCTGCATGCGGAGGTGAAGTGCCTGCATCACAGCCCGCCTGCCCCCGCCAGCCCTCTGGACGGGGCCAGCCCGCTGCACAGATACGTCCTGCGGGTCCAGGACACCTTCCAGAACTTCAGCCAGGCCTCGGGCAGCTCCGGCCCGGGCTCCCCGGCCCAAGTGGTGGTGCACCAGGACAGGGCTGCCGGGAGCGACCCCCAGCCCTACCCCGAGGAGCTCTCCCTTGGCCCCCAGCACAAGATGTCTCCTGGGGAGGGGGACCGAGCTGGAGAGCCAGAGGACCCGAGTTCCCATCCAGCAGAGGAAGCCGACTCTGGCCCCAGCCTCTAGCAGCTCAGGGCAGCGTTTCCACGGCGGTCTGGAGCCAAGCAATAACAGCCACGCCCATCACGTCTAGTGCAGCCGAAGGATCCCAAAGCACGTTGTATGCTGCTCCTGCTGGCTTGTGCCCCAGCCCAAGCAAGCAGGGAGCTCGCTGCCTCTCCCACACGGGGTGGGGGTTGAAGCATGGCTGATGGTCCAGTCAGGCTCCTGGTCCACCAGGCAGCTGCTTTGATAGAGAGCAATGCCTGGGTAGCCGAGCTCCCCGCCCAGTCATTAGGCAGATGGGCTGTAGCACCAGCTAGGTTTCTTTTACTTTGAGTCAATGTTTATGTCAAGTCCTTGGGTGTTACAAACTGGGCCCCTGCAACTTGAATATAGAGCCCCGGAGAAAATACCTCCACCCACTGTACCCACCACTGACATGCTCCCCCCTCTTGGGTGCAATGAGGCAGCTGACCGACAGTGATTGCTTGTTTGATCGAGGGCTGCCTCGGTCACAGTGGAAAGGGAGAGAGAGAGAGCAGGGGCCAGGAGATCTATTTGAAGCGTGTCTGAGCAGGGGACTAGCCCAGTGGCACAGGACTAGCACAGGGCACTGTCGTGCTGGGGATCCTGGCGCAGGGCCAGGCTGGGAGTGCTGTAGGGTGCTCGGAGGGGGGGTTGACTTCTCCTCTAGGGTCCAGCTCCATGTGATGCTAGAGCAGGACAGACAGGCTGCGGAGTGAGCTGTGTGCAGCTATTGTATAGACTGTCCCATGTAGCCGTCTGGGAGGGAAATCAAGGGCACTCCTAGAGACACCGAAGCCAGTCCCTGCCTTCCTGGCCTGCCAGCTGAGATCTTGCTCATAGTCTGTTATAGGTGCAATTCTGTGATCAGGAGGTAGCCAGTTAATGAACCCAGGCTGCTGCAGACTTGAAGTGTGGTTCTGCTCTGACACATGACTGGCCGTGTGTGTGTGTGTCTGTGTGTTTGTTTTGGGGGGGGAATCCATGCTTGTTGTGGCTCAATGACTCCAGATCAAACCGTTCAATTTGCGATAAGAAGAATATATTGCTTTGGGTTTTTCCTTTCCTCCTCTAATCGCCAGCTCCACAAATTCCCACTGGGATCTGAGTGTCAAGCTGGGTTCTCTTCTGCTTCTTTGTGCTCCTGGGAACATTTCCATGGAGGTCAGTGGGCTTAGGATCAAAGCCTTCAGCACATTTCTCACACCAGTTTAGTTAGTGCCCAGCTGTGTCTGCTATAGAAGATTGACTAGCTAGATTCCTGAAGCTTGGGAGCTGTCGGGAAGTTTAGAAGATGTAATATTCAGACAGGCTCTGTCCTGGTTTCTGGTCTGTAACTTGTTATTTGTAGCCCCAGAAAGTGTACTAGGTTCTGCCTGTGTCTTTAAATCAATGCACAATGGAAGGGTCTAATAAATATCTTATTTCACCGTGGAAACAGGAGTGAATCAAGCCCCGCTTTGTGTCTTTAACACCTTGTATTCACATTGTAGAATAAACTATTGCTTCGTCCCAATAAATACAGCAACCCTGTCTTGCACTGCTGTGTCACTCATCACTGGGGAAGGTTCTAACGTTGCACAAGTGGATTCTGCAGTCCTAAAGCGAGATCTCCATTGGGAGTGGAGGCTGCAGGGAAAGGTAGGGGCTTGGTTTGGAAGACCATCTCCCAACCCTTTTTGCTCAGCTGGGTCTCACTGTGAGCAGATTGATGCAGGATCTGGTGAGTGACAAGTTAGATCCAGTGGTGAGGGCCCTGGGCTGTGAATCAGGTGACCTGCTGATTTTCAAATACATGGATTTCATTACAACACAGAATACAAAGTGTAGACTGCTCACTTTATATTATTTTTTATTACAAATATTTGCACTGTAAAAAAAGATAAAAGAAATGGTATGAGGGGAATGAAACATACAAGTACTGTCGTGCAATCTCTTTATTGTGAAAGTGCAACTTACAAAGGTAGATTTTTCTTTTTTACATAACTGCAGTCAAAACCAAAACAATGGGGCCTCAGCTTTAGAGCCTATAAGTCGCAGCATGAAGGGGCATATGAATGGTTAGCATATCTGGCACGTAAATACCTTGCAACACTGGCTACAACAGTGCCATGCGAACGCCTGTTCTCACTTTCAGGTGCCATTGTAAATAAGAAGCGGGCAGGATTATTTCCTGTAAATATGGACAAATTTGTTTGTCTTAGCAATTGGCTGAACAAGAAGTAGGACTGACTGGACTTGTATGAGGTGAACTGAAAACACTATTTCTTTTGTTTATCTTTTTTACAGTGCGATTAATTGCAGGTGTTCTTTTTAATCTAGTTAATTTGTTTTGCATTGAGCGCATGCATTAACTGTGGTTAATTGGCAGCCCTAATAAGAACGACATATAACTGCGGCAGCTGGTGCAATACTCCAGACCCATTTGAATAAAGCCCTGAGCTACATAGGAAGAAAGACTAAATCCAATCCCGCTGAGCTCTTCATAGAACTGTAGGCCCGGAAGGGACCTCGAGAGGTCTTCTCGTCCAGTCCCCTGCACTCAAGGCAGGACCAAGCATTATGTCGACCAGGGGCGATTGGAAGCCCCCTAAAAGTGGGGGGAAGCACCAGCGCCCTAACTGTGGCCCCGCCCCCCATCCTGTCTGTTCTCCCCAAGACTCCACCCCCTTGCTCCTCTCTGCCCACTTCCCCCTGTCGCTTGCCCTTACAGCAACCTAAACCGCCATTGCTTCTTGTCCTATTCTCAGACGTTAAGGAGAACAATTCTTCTCCTTCCTCCTTGTAACAACAACCTTTTATGTACTTGAAAACTATTATCATGTCCCCCCTCAGTCTTCTCTTCTCCAGGCTAAACAAACCCAATTTTTTCAATCATCCCTCAGAGATCATGCTTTCTAGACCTTGAATAATTTTTGTTGCCCTTCTCTGGCCTTTCTCCAGTTCTTCCACATCTTTCCTGAAATGTGGCACCCAGAACTGGACACAGTACTCCAGCTGAGGCCTAATGAGCGCGGAGTAGAGTGGAAGAATTACTTCTCGTGTCTTGCTTACAACACTCCTGCTAATACATCCCAGAATGATGTTTGCTTTCTTTGCAACAGTGTTACACTGTTGACTCATGTTTAGTTTGTGATCAACTGTGACCTCCAGATCCCTTTCCACAGTGCTCCTTCCTAGGCAGTCATTTCCCATTTTGTATGTGTTCAACTGATTTTTCCTTCCTAAGTGGAGTACTTTGCATTTGTCCTTATTGAATTTCATCCTATTTACTTCAGACCATTTCTCCAGTTTTTCCAGATCATTTTGAATTTTAATCCTATCCTCCAAAGCATTTGCAACTGCTCCCAGTTTGGTATCATCTGCAAACTTTATAAGTGTCCCTATGCCATTACCTAAATCATTGATGAAGATATTGAACAGAACCGGACCCAGAAATGACCCCTTGGGGACCCCACTCGTTATGCTCTTCCAGCATGACTGTGAACCACTGATAACTACTCTCTGGGAATGGTTTGCCAACCAGCTCTGCCTCTGCCTTATGGTAGCTCCATCTAGGTTGCATTTCCCTAATTTGTTTATGAGACGGTCATGCGAGACAGTATTAAAAGCCTTACACAAGTTGTAGTATACCACGTCTACACTTCTCCCCATCCACAAGGTTTGTTACCCTGTCAAAGAAAGCTATCAGGTTGTTTGACACGATTTGTTTTGGACAAGTCCATGCTGACTGTTACTTGTCATTTTATTATCTTCTAGGTGTTTGCAAATTGATTGCTTAATTATGCTACTGATCAGCGAAGGTTGAGTGTGCGGAGCGATGGACTAACCCGAGTGTCCATCTCCAGCAACAACAAAAAATAAGTTAGGGTCAGAGTATTTAAGTTTCACATGAGAGCCAGGGAGAGGCAGGTGGCCAGTAGAGATTGAGCTCCACATTAGTCCTATTTAAAAAAAAAAAAAAAAAACACCAAGGGAATTCCCAGAGTTAAAAAAAACTTTGGCCCAGACCCTCAGAAGTATTTCAGTTCCTAATTTCCACTGATTCCAATGGAAGTTAGGAGCCTAAATAAGTTTGAGGCTCTGGGCCTTTGTTACCAAGCGATGTCAGAGCTAAAGTCTCTTACAAGTTTAAAAGTAATGGACCCCAGCTGAGTGCCTATGTCACTGCCTTGTGAGCAGCAGCATTGCCATCTAAAATGGTCTCCGCTGGCTTTGGAGGTTAGCTCCTCCCGGAGGTCTGTGGCTAACGCTGCCTTGTCACCCCACTCTGATAGTTCTCATTTCCCCTGCATTGAGAAGGATGTGGCTACTTGGGGGGTGGGGGCTACTGGTTTCACACCTCCCTGAAGATGAGAGGGGTGGGCAGGAACTGAGTTCACACCCTTCCTCCTGCTATTGGGGTTAAGGTGACTTGCAGGAAGGGGGAAACAAACTGTGTTTGTATTTTGTTTGTCTTTCACGTGTTTAAGAAGGACAAAGGAGGTCACCCAGTGTCTACACTCCCCCTGCATCGACCTCAGCGGGTGGCCCCTGGCTTCAGGCCATTCGGGGAGGGGATCTTAGTGCGTTGACGTAGCGGAGCGTTTACGTCTGCTGGGAACACAGTTGAGCATTGACGTGTGCACAAATAGGTGGCTGCATGGCACCTTACATCGACCTAACTGCGGAGTGTCAAGCAGGCCTGAGTGGCCAGGGCTTGGCCATCTAGAGGGCAGAGGTAGGACGTGTAAGTTTTGAAACTGTTACACTGAAAGATGCGAATGGCTGTTATCAGCTGGGTCTAGGATCACAGACAACCATGGACCTCGTTAAAGCCAGTGGGTGCTGAGCACACCCATGCTGACAGCAAGAGCAGGCAGACCTCTTTAGGGAGTAGAAACAGCTGAGGATGATGGGGGAACCGCCCAAGGCATGAAGCCACGTGGCAGGTGGCAGCTAACCCATATGGACTGAGGGGGTCTCCCTATCTGCCAGTGCAAGGACTAGGAGACCTGAGGCCAGCTGTGTGTCGAAGAGGCAGGGGGGCAAGAAACTGAGAGCAGACAAGAAGACTGGAAAGAGGGACAGTCTCAAGGACCAGCTGAAAGCACAATAGCAGACCCTGATAGAAACCTGGAGAGAGGATTTTGGGTCTGGGGTGTGGGCAGCAAGGAGTGTTTTTGGTGCTGTGAGCAAAAGAAATTGTTTCTTGCTGTTTGATTCCTTGTGTGTTCGCAGACACAGGACTTGGGACAGTCTTTGTAAATCAACAGACCTGCAGCCACAGAATACCTGACTGCCAGCAATTGCTACTCCCAGCTGGAATGCCCTGGGGGGCCCCCAAACTTCAACTAGCCCCTGGGATCAAAAGGAACTACGTTGTACTGTAGGGGGCCCTCCCGTGGTGGTCTCTGGTGAGAACTGCTCTCAGAATGGCTCAGCTGTGTCCTACACTGCTGGCAAAGGAAGGCGAGTCCCTGGGGAAATAGTCACTTTTGAGAGCTGGGGGAACCCCCATCCGTTGAAATGGCTCAGCCTGTACATTTAGAGCCCCATCCAGTGCCCCCGTTTAAATCAATGGGAAGGCTCCCTGGGCTGCAATGGGTATTGGTCAGATCTGCCCCTTGGAGCAGGAGGATCTGAGTTCTGTCCCCGGTGTTGCCAGGAAGTTCTGAGGGGTTGGCTGGGCAGGGCAGCGCTGGGATGCTGGCGTGTCCTGGATAGTGCTGGCTGGGCTCCTGAGTGTATTGGACCCTGGGCAATGGGATCTCTCACCCCTGTGACAAATAGAAGACTGTGAAAGGCAGCGAGGTGGTTTCCTGTCTGAGGGTGGCGAAGGAGGGGGTAGGCTCACAGGAACAGGTTCAGCACTGTATAAGAGAGAGAGTCCCTTGAGCTGAGCTTCACTCTGAGCCTCCCAGGGCCATCCAGGCTTTGGACCTGCAGGTAGAGTAACATCTTTAACTCTTTGGGTCAAGTCCATCCCTGGGGTAAGCCCCTTGGCGGGGGGAAGGGGTACAGCATGGAGACAGGTCAACCTTGTCTCTTCACTCAGACCTAGGGTTTTAAGAGCAGCTCATGATTTGAGGGCCACGATTTTTGGAGACCCAACTGAAAGGGGTCAGATCTTTGGGGGTGGGGAGTGCTCTTAAGGTGTCTCAAGTTACTCTCCTGAAAATCACTTGTTACTTCTGAAAATTTTGTCCTAAGGAAATTAAACATGTCTGTATTTTAACTTCAAAAAGAAACAAAGGAAAGCTTTTGCCCAGACACATTCTTGGTGGCAACTCTTGCTCCAGCCTGTAAAGGTCTCTGCTTGTTTACAAGGGTTCCTGCTATCTGGATACCCATCCCTCTCCTGAGGTGGCTCAGGGGAGTCTCCATAGATGACCTCAATCGCCTTGGAACAAGGGAGCCAGGGCAGGCATTTCTCTTGGTTGATGATGAGATTCTCATGGAATTTTCTTCCTGTCCCCCAGGTGAAGATGACATTTCTGCTGATCACCGTGACTTACCTTTGCGCTCACACGTTGATGGACATCCCTCAGGTAATTCAATCTATGCTGTAAGGTTGGTAAGACCCAATGCTGTCTAGTTATGTATCTTAAAGCTTTGCGCTGACCCTAGTACCTGACAACTTTCCATCTAAAAGAACTTGGCAATGGTAAGGTCCCTAGGGGGACTTCCTGGAGTCTCTGGCTCCTCTCCCTTCTGAGGTTATAGAAAGCTCTGCTGGGAGCAGGGTTTTCTCTTGGTTTATTTGTGGAGGAAGCACTAGAGGAGGTGGAAGGACTGGCTGATGCTGTGAATGTTGTCCTGGGTTTGGTGGAGAAGCTCTGTTCAAGAGGAAGGTTCTGCAGGGTTTCCTAATGGTGGTCAGACCTGGATTATTCTAACCTCCTCTGGAACCTCACTGCAGAGCAGATGCCGCCACCCGGGAAATGCTTTGTACCAGGGCTTAAATTTAGCTAGAGCTGTCCGGGCTGGAACTCTGGTCAATATATTCAACCCCGTAGGAGCCTCGGCATGCCCCATGGAGCTGAAACCCTGAGCCCCAGTGTCCCCCACTCCTGTGGGGCTAAAGTCCCAGCGCCCCTTCCCCCACTGCAGGGCTGAAGCCTCAAGTCCTGGTGCTCTCCCACATAGGGCCCCGAGACCCCCCCCCCCAACTCCGCGAGCTGAAGCCCAGAGTCCCAAATGGGGGTAGGGTATGGGGGGCTCCAGGAAAGTCTCTGAGAATTTAAGCTCTTCTTTGTAACCGGATCTTATGCACTTTGTGTTCTGCTTCGACTACTGAATCTGTTTCTAAATGAAGGGAGAATCTGGGTATTTGTGGCAGACAAGAACATCACATGTTCCTTATGGACAATGCTGGGCTTAGATCCCACTCTCCAGCTGTAAAGGCCCTGAGAGGGTCAGTTTCTGGGTGAACTCTGGCCCCTAGAGGGAGAGGAGTTTCTGCCACATCAGCTACTCAGGACCTGGAACACTCAGATATCTTGAAATCCATGGGATCTGCTCATTCACATGAAGATCCTGACCCTCAGCAATGCTTGGCTCCCATCTATCTCCCAAGAGAGTCATGCCTCCCTCTGCTGACCCAGCCATCTCTGCGTCAAGAAACCCTGCTGGGGGGGTAGACAGCAGAGAGTGTAACATGGAGCTTGTGAAAGCTGCCCCCCACCAGTGATAGCTGGTATGAGAAACTCCCCGTGGGTGTGCAGATGCTCATGCAGCTGGAGAGCTGTGACCCTTTTCGACCCAGGTGCCCCGATGCCCAGAGAGCCCCAGCTGTGCAGAGATTACAGACAGGGGCTTTGGTGGGGTCAGAGGAGAGAGGATTACACTGAGTAGATTCAATCACCTTCCACCAGCAAAATCTGGGCCATTTTGTTGGGTTTTCTGTGCTCGCTGCATAGAGACAAAGGGCACAATGTGACCCGCATCATCTTTGCAGAGGTGGCCTCCATACCTCTGCCTCCTTCGAAGACCATAGCTCTCATGCTGTGTTCTGTAGACCACAGGTGGGCAATGGAGCATCATCAGGGGGCTCATAGAATCAGAGAACCTAGATATGGGCAAGCTCTGTTAGACCGTTCAGTCCATCCCTGGGGCGGAGGGGGGCAATACTGGGTTGTTCCTGACAGCACGCTTACTGGGCCTTTGCACAGTGTAATTTTACCTAATGACGGGGCTTCCACCGCTTCCCTTGGGTCACTATTCCCCGGCTGAACTGACCACACTTTCTATTAAGGCTACATCTACAGATAGCTTATAAAGGGTTAACAGGTGGGTCAGTAGATGTTCTAAACAGGACATGAGTATCAGATGCTATGAGCAAACTATTGACTCTGAGGCAACCTATAACAATTGATTAACCATCTATTTTAAAACATCTGTTGATCAGTTATTAATGCTTCATAAGTGGTTCATAAGTGGTTGATAGGTTTGGCAGTCCCACTCCTATTTCCCTAGCAGAATGTTTGTTTTTCCTGATCTTTGCTGCTTCCACCCCAATAATTTCCCTGTGAGTTGAACTAATCCACTGTAAAAAGATCTAGGCCAGCCGTGACAAAATCCATGGGTGGTTTCACTTGCCCATCTGAAGACTCCATGGAGGACCCTCATTCGCAGAAAGGGCTGAGCTCTGAAAATCAGACTCCTCTGAAGTGCCTGCAGTTGGCCCCCGCCCCCCCCCCAATCACTTGTCACTTATAAAGAAAAAAATTAGGCTTAAAAAAGTCACCTTGCATGTCATGGTGTGAAACCATAATATGCACAGCAAGTATCTGCATCTGAAGAACCCTCCGTGAAGTCTCGCAATGAAATCCTCATGGTCCAAAGAGACATACGGAGGTGAGAAAGGAAAGTGAAACAGAAATACTGTGTGTGTGGCGGGGCGGTGGGGGTGGAGAGGTCAAGGGGGACACTCTCTCTCACACACACACACACACTCGTGAGCCCTGTGTTTTCAGAATTTCCTAAGTATAATCAAGTAATGAGTAGGGCCCTACCAAACTCAGGGTCCATTTTGGTCAATTTCACGGTCGTAGAATTTTAAAAATCATAAATTTCATGATTTCAGCTATTTCAATGGGAAATTTCGTAGTGCTGCAGTTGTAGGGGTCCTGACCCATAAGGGAGTTGTGTGGGGTTTGCAAGGTTAGGGCAGGGGGGTGCTACCCTTCCTTCTGCACGGCTGCTGCTGGGGGAGCTGCCTTCAGAGCTGAGTGCCCGGCTAACAGCTGCTGCTCTCTGGCCGCCCAGCTCTGAAGGCAGCACAGAAGTAAGGGTGATGATACTGCGACCTTCCTAAAATAACCTTGTGACCCCCCCTGCAACTCCTTTTTGGGTCAGGACCCCCAATTTGAGAAATACCAGTCTCCCCTGTGAAATCTGTATAGTATAGGGTAAAAGCACAAAAAAGATCAGATTTCATGGGGGGAGACCAGATTTCACAGTCTGTGACATGTTTTTCATGGCTGTGAAGTTGGTAGGGCCCTACCTATGGGTTTGTTTGGTAAGGGACTCTCTCTCTCTCTCTCTCTCTCTCTCTCTCTCTCCAAGCCTTGTTTATACCAGGGAAATTCAGAAAAAATGTCTCATGGTGGCTGGCCCAGCCCAGTTCCATTGGTGCCAGCTATGCTGGGAGCCCTGCAGCCAGGCAGCCATCCACCCCTGGTGTTTTATATGCTGTGTTGTTCCAGGTGACTTGCCAGCCGGTGCTGGACATGGCATATGATGCTTTTGATGACCGCTATATTGGCTGCACAGAAGATATGGAAAATATAATCAAATCTAAACTGCTGCGGAAAGAGAAGTCAACGCACAAGGTGTTTAGCAAAAGATGGGAAGCTGCAAAAAAACAATGGAATGAGAAGAAGAAAAACCTCTCTCTGCCTAAAGAGTTTAAGGATGAGAATGGAATAGCAATCCTGGCCTATACCAGTGGAAATCGGATATCTCTGCACAAGGAGTTCAACAAAGCTGTGAGAGAGGCTGGTAAATCCCGAACATATTATCTCAAACATTTCCCATTCAAAGCCCTTCATTTTTATTTGACCAGAGCGTTGCAGCTCCTGAAGAGAGACTGTGCTGAGATGTACGAGACGGAGGTGTACAGGGGAGTCCGTTCTCACCGCTACAAGAAGAGAGGTAGCATGGTCCGGTTTGGGACATTTACCTCTTCATCTGTAGACTGGGGCGTAGCTCAGAGATTTGGCTCGGCCACATTTTTCACCATCCGGACGTGCTTCGGGGTCCCCATTGCAGACTTCTCTTATATTCAAGCTGAACAAGAAGTGCTGATTCCTGTCTATGAGAGATTTAGGGTGTTCAACTTCACCCAGGACAAGAACGGCAACGCATTTGTCCTCCACAGCACAAACCGGACCTTCAGCCGTTACAACTGCGCCTACATAGAAGGTCAGTAGGAGACTTTGGGTCCAATTCTCCCCACCCTAGGTTGTCACTTCAGTGGTGCCATCTCTTGGGGTATTTTTATCACAAGTCTCATGTTAGTTGGGTTTCTTCTTAAAGCCCCTGCTCCTGGAGTCAGGTCATTTATGGGACAATCTCAGATGGTGCAAAAAGGCTGCATCCTGGCTGGAGGTGGCTAGCAGAGAATTTCTCTTGTGGGTGTAAAGGCAGCATAAGATGCTCCTGTGTTAGCTGCTTCCACCCCACATCTGCTGGGTGGGTGGGGTTTCTGAGGGCAGGGAGGGGGCAGGGCAGAGAGGAATTTACCACTTTCCCCACACAAGTGTGGGGGGTGATGAATGTCCCTCAGCCGTCACTAAGCCGTCTCCCATTCTGGTGCTAGGCAGGCTGGGGGAGAGGCTGGACGTGTTTTAGAATTGACTGGGCAATTCATGAGGGGGCCTTTCTAACTCCATGAGCCAGGCTGGGAAGAGATTTGTTACTGACCGGGCAAGAAGAAGAAAATTATGATCTGTATTCTAGTAGTGCCTAGAGTGAGATCAGGGGCCGGTTGTGCTGGGTGCTGTACAAACACACAGCCCTGCCCTGAAGAGCTCACAGTCTAAATGGGCAAAACAGACAACAGGTGGGAGAAAGGAAGGATCCTTGCTCCTATTTTACCAATGGGAAAGGGAGGCACCGGCTAGATGAAGTGACCTAGCCACAGTCTCCCAGGGAGTCTGGTGCAGGGCCAGGGACTGAACCCAGATCTCCTGAGCGCCCGCCCATGGTCTTAGCCACACACCCATTTTCCTGTTCCTCCGCTGGGCTAATGGAGTGTGTCCGCAGTGCAGCACACGGCGACATCTCTCCGACTGCCCTCTTCCCACACCTTCCTTGCAAGGGTTCAGCGCATTCTGGCAGCACCCCGGAATGGAGGCAGAACCCCCATTGCACAGGTCGCTAATCAATGGCAGAGATGGTGATTCCCAGCCTCATCACAAACAATAATCCTTCCTCAGTGGGTGAGCTGTTCCTTCTATGTCTGCAAAGAGACGTGGTGGGTGCTCCCGGTATCTTCAGCGTGCGGGTCTCCAGCGTCTGGCTTGTTCTAGCTCTCATCTACCAATGAATCCCAGTGACCATTTTACTGTGAATGCAACCCAGCTGGCTGGCAGGGGAGCTGCCATTTCTGGGGCGTTCTGTCCCAGGGGTTTCCCAAATGAGGTCACTAAGCAGGCTGAGTCAGACTGCAATTAACACAGGCCTTCTCTTTGCGTTTCAGGAAAGAAAGGGCGAGGGGGGGCCTTGCGCTTGGAAGGATTTCACGCATCCGGAACACTTCGGGCTGGGCGTGCCGAAGCAGAGGCAGAAACCACGTGAAATGTTTGCTTTGCTCCTTTTCAGTCTCTTGTGCAGCCCACTTGTGTTCCAATATGCTATTAAACAGCCAGGGCTTGATGGGTAGTCATGATGTTAAGCTGACCTTTCCCAGCTTGGGAACTTGCAGCCTGCCAGTGATTTGTCAACAGATCACCACGAGAGGGCATGGGAGATCTTCCGCTGGATTCGCTTGCTGCATTTACAGCCAAAGCCTCCTGCTTTGCAGTATTTACTGTGTCCATCTCATTTAATAGGTAACTCTGAACCCCGGCTTTATGTCCTCTGGGTTGCAGACGTGAGCAGCATGTTGTCTGCTGGGATGATTTTGCTGTACTGAGCTGATGTTTGATGCAACTTGTTTAATAAATTTGCTATAATTAACGAGAAGTACAGGGTCTTGACACCCCATTTCGTCACAAGTTCTAACTAGGCTGCTATGTAGGTATCCAGCCTTTCCCCCCACATCTCTTGTGGCGGGTCCGAAAAAGGGACTGGTGGGTGGAATAGCCCATCCATCATTGTTTGGTCCATGAACTAAGTCTAATTTACAACTCACCAATTCTGGTTCATTCATGTCCAGTCCCACGCTTTTCTTGTTTACCAGGCATAAGCTTCACACAGCCCATGAATTCTATCAGGAGACCTTTTTGTTTAGACTAATTTTGCGTGTGTCCCTTTGGCACCTTTTCCCATTGACATTTGTTGATTTCAATTGTCCTTACATCTCTTGACCTTTCTCACAGTTGGGCTCACAGTCTAGGTAAATTTCTAAGCCCAAGTATCACAACACGTACCAGCCCCCTGTTATCAATGCAACAGAGCCCACTCAGAATGACAGGGCCATATTCAATCGATCATAAGGTCTCCTCCCGCTGCTCATCACTGTAGTACGTGAGCGCATACCTCATAAAAGTGAGGTAATAGTGAAGTCCCTAGTGGCTTTCATGGAGGCTCTCTTTCTTCTCCATCTGCTGCTCTAGCTCTCACCTTCACAGATTTGAAGGCCAGAAGGGAGCATTATGATCAGACTCCGACCTGTGACACTACATACAGAGTCTCCCCCAGTGATTCCTGCACTGAGGCCAATCATCTCTCTTTGAGCTACAGCATGTCCTTTAGAGAAACATCCAGGCTCCATGTAAATGGAGAATCCTCCGTGGCCTGTGGCAAACTGTTCCAAAGGTTAATTGCCCTCCCTGTTAAAATGTGTCGTCTTTTCTGTTTGACCTTTGCTAACTCCAGCTTCCAGCCAGTGGATCTCATTGCGCCTTTGTCTGCTAGATTAAACCTGGTAGTTTGATGGATTGTATTTATGAAAACATTGATCAAATTTGGAGCATGGAAGGGAGAAAAAAAACATCCCGCATAAACTTTGAAGGTGACTCTGAAAAGGAAAATAAGCAGCAGAAAAAACCCTTTGTCATGGAGAAAGAAAGGTGGTGTTATCCTTCACCCACTCATTGGCAAAGGTTTTTCCTGGTTTAGTTTTACGTTTGAGATTCAGGTCTTGGCCACAGGAGAATTGGGAGATTTCTGACAACACAAAAACCAAGGAAGTGAAATCTGATAGAGATGGTTTAAAACTCCTTTAACATAATCTTTGACTTGGGTGCCCCCATCTGCACCTGAAGTCATTGGGGGACTTAATAAAAAAAAACCCCAAAGACCTGATTTTTCTATACCTATTTAACTCAAATGTCTGACAGACACTTGGGAGAAAAACTCTGTGTGTAAATCCTGATGCCCTTTCACTGAGGGATGAAAAGAATCCCACTCTAGTTCTCCCCTTCTCCAAGGAGTTCTCTAGCAACAACAACAAAAAGGCTTGATATTCTCCACATTTCTGAAGTACAAAAAGAACCAAGCAGAATTTTAAGAGTCAGGTCTCCTTTGTCCATCTTAAAGAAGTGAAAGACAAAATACAAAACAGTTTGTTTCCCCCTTTGCAAGTCACCTTAACGCCAATAGCAGGAGGAAAGGTGTGAACTCAGTTCCTGCCCACCCCTCTCATCTTCAGGGAGGTGTGAAGCCAGCAGCCCCCAGCCCCTAGTAGCCACATCCTTCTCAATGCAGGGGAAATGAGAACTATCTGAGTGGGGTGACAAGGCAGCGTTAGCCACAGACCTCCGGGAGGAGCTAACCTCCAAAGCCAGCGGAGACCATTTTAGATGGCAATGCTGCTGCTCACAAGGCAGTGACACAGGTACTCAGCTGGGGTCCGTTACTTTTAAACCTTTAAGAGACTTTAGCTCTGACATTGCTTGGTAACAAAGGCCCAGAGCCTCAAACTTATTTAGGCTCCTAACTTCCATTGGAATCAGTGGAAATTAGGAACCGAAATACTTTTGAGGGTCTGGGCCAAAATTTTTTTTTCCTCTGGGAATTCCCTTGGGTTTTTAATGCACCCCAGGCCTCAACATGAACAGGAACAGAGGGCGGGCCAGAAGCTGGTCTGCTTAGTTCCTGCCTCGTGGCTAACGGAGTGATCGATGACTCAAACATCAAACACCAGGGCTGATCCTAGGCCCAAGGGTCAGAGCCAGACGACCTTGTCGGAGACACAAACACACAGACCTCTGTCACCTCGCCCAGTCAGGGACCCAAACCGCAGCCACATGACCCACACGGAGACAAACAGCAAACAGGCCCACACACAACTCGCCAAGTCCCTTTACCTCCATGCACCAGATCCACAGCTATGCCCTGAAAAACTCCCCTGGTTGCATCTCCTGTTCGCCTGCTGAGCTGATCCCTTGTTTAGAGGGTCTGCTGGGGCGTTGGGTCTTTGGGGGCAGATTTTTCTGGCCAAGGTAAAGGAGCCAGGCATTGGAATTTGGATCCTGGGGGAGAGCCAGTGACATGGGGACGAGGGCATGGCAGTGTCCTGCTCAGGGAAAGCAGGGATAGGGTCAGGAATGGGGAGTAATAGGGACATCCACTGAACACATGGAAATGCCATCACTCCCCTGGCCTTTGCCCGTAAAGGGGAGGGTGGGGGCGGTGCTCTCCCTCCCTTGGTGCAGCTGAGGGGTTGGTTTGGTGGGGTGACCACTGAGCTGTTCCTGGGGCTGATGGGATGGATGTGCGCACAGCGTGAATGGGTACGAAACATAGGGGTGTGAGGTATGTACTGAACGGGTGGGTGGAAAATGAATCTAAACACCCTTCATATTTCTATTAACAACAAAGGGCCGGGTGATGCTTCTTCGGTTCAAATGGCTCTTCCATGGTAGATTGACATTGCCAAAAATATCTGAGCTTTGACACATTTGGGGGGATACAGCCACATTCTCAGTGGTTCACGTTTTCTCTTTTAAGGACCGAATCCCCTTTTCGAATGCAAGTCCAAATAAATGCCTGATTCTCAAGGAGAGAACACCACCTTTCCACTGTAAAACCCCACATTTGTGTCCTTTCCAAACCTCAGATTAAATTTTTACACATTTCCTCTCTCTGTCTCAGTCATCTTGCTGTAGCACCAGTAATGGCCTTCCAGGTTGACTGTGAACCACTGATAACTACCCTCTGGGAACAGTTTTCCAACCAGTTATGCACCCACCTTATAGTAGCTCCATCTAGGTTGCATTTCCCTAGTTTGTTTATGAGACGGTCATGTGAGACAGCATCAAAAGCTTTACTAAACTCAAGATATACCACATCTACCACCTCCCCTGTATCCCCAAGGCATGTCATCCTGTCAAAGAAATATATTAGGTTCATTTGACACAATTTGTTTTTGACAAATCCGTGTTGACTGTTACTTATCACCTTCTTATCTTCTAAGTGTTTGCAAATTGATTGCTTAATTAGTTGCTGTAATTATCTTTCCAGGTACAGAAGTTCACTTATCATAGAATCATAGAATATCAGGGTTGGAAGGGACCTCAGGAGGTCATCTAGTCCAACCCCCTGCTCAAAGCAGGATCAATCCCCGACTAAATCATCCCAGCCAGGGCTTTATCAAGCCTGACCTTAAAAACTTCTAGGGAAGGAGATTCCACCACCTCCCTAGGTAACCCATTCCAGTGTTTCACCACCCTCGTAGTGAAAAAGTTTTTCCTAATATCCAACCTAAATCTGCCCCACTGCAACTTGAGACCATTACTCCTTGTTCTGTCATCCGCTACCACTGAGAATAGTCTAGAGCCATCCTCTTTGGAACCCCCTTTCAGGGAGTTGAAACCAGCTATCAAATCCCCCCTCATTCTTCTCTTCTGAAGACTAAACATCCCCAGTTCCCTCAGCCTCTCCTCATAAGTCATGTGTTCCAGACCCCTAATCATTTTTGTTGCCCTCTGCTGGACTCTTTCCAATTTTTCCACATCCTTCTTGTAGTGTAGGGCCCAAAACTGGACACAGTACTCCAGATGAGGCCTCACCAATGTCGAATAGTTGGGAACGATCACGATCTGCTGGCAATGCCCCTACTTATACATCCCAAAATGCCATTGGCCTTTTTGGCAACAAGGGCACACTGTTGACTCATCTCCAACTTCTCATCCACTGTAACCCCTAGGTCCTTTTCTGCAGAACTGCTGCCGAGCCATTCGGTCCCTAGTCTGTAGCGGTGCATTGGATTCTTCCATCCTAAGTGCAGGACTCTGCACTTGTCCTTGTTGAACCTCATCAGATTTCTTTTGGCCCAATCCTCCAATTTGTCTAGGTCCCTCTGTATCCTGTCCCTACCCTCCAGCGTATCTACCACTCCTTCCAGTTTAGTGTCATCTGCAAACTTGCTGAGGGTGCAATCCACACCATCCTCCAGATCATTTATGAAGATATTGAACAAAACCGGCCCCAGGACCGACACCTGGGGCACTTCACTTGATACCGGCTGCCAACTAGACATGGAGCCATTGATCACTACCCGTTGAGCCCGACAATCTAGCCAGCTTTCTATCCACCTTATAGTCCATTCATCCAGCCCATACTTCTTTAACTTGCTGGCAAGAATACTGTGGGAGACCGTGTCAAAAGCTTTGCTAAAGTCAAGGAACAACACGTCCACTGCTTTCCCTTCATCCACAGAGCCAGTTATCTCGTCATAGAAGGCAATTAGATCAGTCAGGCATGACTTGCCCTTGGTTAATCCATGCTGACTGTTCCTGATCACTTTCCTCTCCTCTAAGTGCTTCAGAATTGATTCCTTGAGGATCTGCTCCATGATTTTTCCAGGGACTGAGGTGAGGCTGACTGGCCTGTAGTTCCCAGGATCCTCTTTCTTCCCTTTTTTAAAGATGGGCACTACATTAGCCTTTTTCCAGTCATCTGGGACCTCCCCCAATCGCCATGAGTTTTCAAAGATAATGGCCAATGGCTCTGCAATCACATCCGCCA